GCTAGGGCCAGACCAATCACCCTGATTAATAGTTTTAAGCACCATATAAACATTATTTTTATGCTTAGTTGTTGATATGTCATTGTAATCACAGAGCCAAAAACAACGCAAACTCAAAGGAAACCTAGTGTGCAAAACACCTTTCAAGTTAATTTAAGTATAAAAGGGGCGCGCACATCAAAATTTTACTGATTTTACTTATACAATAATCATAATAATTTGTGAGTTTAATTACAAATACAAAAACAGCTTTATGTCCCCTCCTAAAATTAACAATAAAAATAAGGTAAAATTTTTAACCTTTTTTCTTTTCTTTTCTTATTTCGATAAATTGATTACTTTCACTGTAAACTTCATATCTATAAATAACATCCATTGCCAAATTTTACGACTACAAATAAAAAAAGATAATATCTTAATATTAGCTACGCCCGAATATAATTTTTAATAATGTATAAAAACAATTCTCAAAGCACTTAAAATGACACACACACTCATTATATCATTAAAACTGAAATACAACCCGTTCCAACATTGTATGTTCTTTGTAATTTCGAGATAAATGCGGTGAATAATAAATTTTCACCGCATTTATCTCGACGTACAAATTTAATATTTCACAGGACATATTGAACTTTTGTGGGAGTTTAAACTTTACCCCTTACGCTTTAAAGCGTTGAAAACTTTTAAAAGTTTTTTGAAGTTTGTTTTGGCGAGATCATTAGGGTGCGTTCGCGTTGTTAAATGCCGCTACGTTTAGAAATCGAATATGGCTTCTCCGGAATGACATGTTGATGTATTGCCGCTAATTACTCATGGCGGAGAGGTGTTTATTGAAAATAGATGCAAGGTGACGACACGCTGTGTCCGCTTCCACTTGGACGAGCAATTGCTCGGTATGACTTCCGCGTTTCTCGTTCAACTTTGTTAAGTGCGCATTATGTTCTATTGAAATTGTAACGTTTGCTTTTCATAATCATTAATCTTAATCATAATCATTTATTTACTTTGTTGTTTCGGTATGGATAAAGAAAAGACTTTTTTCAAACTTAAAGAAGTTCCTACTTTCTTTTAGGATTCATCCCTAATTTACCTATATCAAAGAATATATTGGTTAAAGTATCGAAGTATCTTTCTTTAAGAAATAGTAATGGGGGAGTTACTCAATGCAATTATTCGTATTTGCTAGATATTTGAACCCATTTTAAAATCAAATTAGACTTCGGGATCATCCCTCGCATCTCCAAATAATGAGGAAATATTTTAAAAAAAAAGGAAAGCTGTACAAAAGCACCTCCACTAGATGGCGACTCTAGCAAAAGTCGATTTTTGCAGGAAACGAATGGACCAAGGACAGTCATTTACATTCCTTTTAAGTAACATATTAAAAAACTGAAATTTACAAAGTGCAAAACTTAGATATCAATACTAGTACGAAAAATTACATGAGTTGTTTATTGAGTTTTGAAAACTATTTTACTTTTGAACATGAATGAAATCAAGAACGTACCGTAGCGACATCTAGTTTGATTTCGGGAACTAATGTTTTTTTAAAATACTTCTTCATTAAACATGTCAAACCAGAATTTCTTTGGCTCCTTTATATACCTATAAGTATACGGCGGGTTAACTTTACGTAGAACGTAAAAGTGAAGTGGACGAATGGTGCGTCTTGCTCACTATTACATTGATCACGTATCACTGTCAGAAACAGTTTAAAACCCTGGGCGCCATTTTGGTGATGTAATTTCGTTCAACATTCAGTGTATGTACATTTAACAAATAAACACTGGTGTCAACCAGTAATCGTCAGAGTACTTCAATTGAGTTAGATTTTGTTAAGATGACAGAAATTTTTTGTAATGTTTTTGTTGTTTTCGACTGTTATTGTTAGGTTGTTGTTACTTGTTATGGTTGGCTAAAATGACAAATATGTCTAGTCTAATGTCTCTCTCTTCATTATTACTTTTTGTTTTGTTTTAAAATATGTCCTTTCCGTTTGTTTTCGCGTTATTGCAAAGTTAATGACATTTTTTTACTATTTAATATTAACACATCAAAGGAGAATGGGCAGAAGTCGGCTAAAATTACTCAAATTGCGCACTATTCATTTATTTATCAAAAATCTTCTCTTTAATTATAATATATTCTATATAAATACAATATTAAAATTATGCGGCGTTTAAAATTAACCGTATTAAAACAATTGTTACATGATAACATGATAGAACTCCTTGGATAAATGTCAACCATGCAACAATAGACTCGATAAGGCTGATCGCCTTATCAATATAGAAAACTAAGGGATTAATCTACGTAGCGAAAAAAAAAACGATTGTTTAATTACTATCTAACATAAGACTTCCTTCGGTTTTCTTTTAAGCATGAACAAAGGTATGTACGCTGTTTCATAGTGAATGATAGGAGGCAAATTAATACAATCGGCCGGGTGGCGCATCTTAATATGACGCGTACAGACTAAACCAACGATCGGCCAAATTAACGTAGCTACTAATCCCAAAGAATAGGCTTCATTTATTCGTATAGGCGTATTCGTATAAGGATAAAATATGCTATGGTTTTAAAATATGGTATATAAATATGCTCCATTATTGTATAATGATGATCAATAAACAAGTACATAAATAAATTTGTTTAATTTTTATTTTACCTACTTGCTTCCCTTACTCTCGAACGCAATCGCGACCAAACGATATTGTAATTGTGCCGTTTTGTAGCTACTCTTGATTGGGTACTGCGATTTGGGTTTGATAATTGCGAATTAACCGTGAGTTTTCACGGAGGACGAAACATGCGTGTTTAAGCGGTGTTGTAGATAACTGTAACAAGATTCCATTAGATAAAACCTACATATCTTAAGATTGCAAGCGACATTCGTTATAGTATTTTCATTAGCGATGAGTAGGTATATTCCTACCTACTACAATATAACTACGAGTACCTACTAAGTTTCAAGTTATTAATCGACTTGACATGCGAACTTCCTACCACTACTTTTACAAAATAAAGAATTTTAACTCTGATAATGCTGGTCAGGAATTATATTATTCAAAGACTATTTTTAATCGGAAAAGTCGTTTTTGAGTTTATCCTTTACAATAAAAAATCCAATCTTTCGTTTTTATAATATAGGTATAGATATGTAGATACTTTTTCGCAATTAAATGTTCGTTAGTCATCGATTGTTTGAAATACATTATTAATTTTATTGCTCTTTTATACGTAGAAATTATAACGACATAACCTCAAAATCTCTGTTAAACATTGAGATATTCTCAAACTCCGACATAATTTTAAAATAGTTTTTTTTCCTATCATCACTTTTCTAGGGCATTGTTTGGGTGCTGAACCAGAGTCCAAACAACTTACTGAGCGCTTACGATTGTCGAACAGGATCAATTTCTCATCACAAATAACAATGCAGTTCAAAATTCCCTTCATTTGTATGCCTGATGAGCAGTGCAAGGCACGTCTCAACGCGTACTTCGCGTAAGCAATCATTAAGTTCGTGGGGTAAACATTTTGTCAAGCTATTTTACCTTGCCAATTTGACGCAAATGGACCAATATTATTTTGATGCTAACGTCGAAAGCTGCTGCCAATTCAGCCGTAGATTGAGTTTAGCAGCATTCGCCTTTAATTCATCATTTTCGACCAAAGTTTTCGAACGACAAAAGAAGTTCATTTTTCAGGTCAAAATTTCCAGAACGGCAGAGGACAAACCAATAACGGGTATTGAGTTCGTTGGTAATGTTCGTTCCGTAAACGCTTGTGCCGCTTTGATACCACGACGGTACGCATACTCCATATTTACTCGAATTTTTAACTTATCCATGATGACGAAAAATATTAAATAACGTCAATTTCATAGGTACCTATTAATACCGAGAAACGTATATGAATATACTAGATATTAAGGGAAGACAGTCTCATTTTATTTCATTTATTTATTTATTATGTCATAGGAAGACCTACAGCTAATAAACAGAAGTAATAATAAGAATAGGAAACAAGCAGCCTAAATATACAGGTCCTCACAAATATGAATCAAAGTTTACACGTACAACTATGAAAGCATTGTCTATTTGTATACAGTTAGGGCATTTGTCCACTACACTGAATTTTCAGGTCCGGCAGTCCGATTTTTCCGGTCCGGGATGACATGAAAAACCCGAATGATTAGCTTGTGCACTTGTCCGTTTTTTCCGGATCGGAGCTGATTCACACAATTCTCTCAACGCGGCCATTTCCTTTTTAAGCTCTTTAAGCTCATCGACTACCGTGCACAGGTTTGCGGTCTTTAATTTCATGTCACGCAGCTAAGAACAAACTCGAGAGAGGCTGGGTCTGCAATAGGAGTAGATGGTTTTTCTGGTGATGGTACCGGAGTCACGAAAAGCTTACATCGAGGAAACTTCCACGTTGCACGCCGGTCTGCACCCAGTTTCCTATAGCCAGCCTCGGTTATTCCCCCACAGGAGAAACACAGGTTATGTTCACAAACACTACATTGCACACCATCGTTGAAGCCACAGTCACAAATGAAGCAGTTCATCTTGAATTATAAAGACAAAAAAGTTTGGAATATATGGAAAATTTATAGAAGTTAAATAAGTGCTATCAGGTTGAAGTGCGATCGCACACTTGCAAACACTTGTGGCGGTCAATTCTCCCTGGCAACCTGCGAACATGCCAGCGTGAAAAATATATACAACAATTTAAATAATCTCTTTTGTTAGCCACGCCATGTCGCATTCTCAAAACATAGCAGACACACAGACAAGACGGAGGTTGAGGTCAGGTGACATCTTTGACGAGTGCTCGCAATATACGCGCCTGACCAACCCTTCCATTTTTTAAGTAATTTGTTATTTTATTGGGTCAGAAAATTATTATTGTCTAAATTATACTCCAAGACATAGGTGGCGCGTGACAAAAAATGCCTTTTAAAAAAATAAAACCTAAAATTATTGTTGCAGGATCCAGCATATCCAGAGGGAAACGTGCTAGAACAGCTTTCAGCGCACAACAGATAAAGAGCTTAGAAGCAGAATTTGAGAAGAACCGGTATTTATCAGTTGCGGCCCGAGGACGGCTCGCTAGGCAACTGAGGCTAACCGAGACCCAGGTGAATAATAATACTTAAGTACTGTTTTACGCAAAAACTATTGAATAAATTTTGATAAAATTTGGTACACCTTCGGATAGTTCCGAGGCTGAATTAACATATTTGCTACATTTTATAATACTAACTAAACGGTTCTCAAGGGATAAATATACTGTCAAGTCGTCGTGTAAACCACGCAGGCGAAGCCGCTACTAAATATTAATTATAAGACGACGTTAACAACACATCTTAGCAACTTGAAATAATGAGAGAACTTCAACCGCCCAGAAACGACAATTTGCTATAGTAATAGAGACAGGTAGAAAATTAAAGCATTTCTATTTCAATTACAGATAAAAATATGGTTCCAAAATCGGCGCACGAAGTGGAAACGGAAATACACGAACGACGTCGAACTTTTAGCTCAGCAGTATTATAGCAGTTTAGGCATTGTCGCTCCACGCCCCATGTTCGTTGGCGACCGTCTATGGATATTCAATTATCCAAACAGATTGCCTCCAACGCAACAACAACAATGGATGAAAACTATCAGCAACGTCGCTAACACAAACCCACATAATCAAATAATCGACAGAAATATGTTCAGAGCCTTACCGAAACCCGATATACCACCATTTATGATCTCACCTCCGTACGCGAACGAAAGAGTTTTTAATTTGGAACGCAGCCTTAGTATGCACGGAAATGTCAAAATTCCTACACAAAATCGTATTGTACCGCGAGAAGTTTATAATAACATGGCGACAGCCCAAAGAAATTTAGATATGTACAAAAATAATATTTTAAATCATAACAGCCCCCCACAAGAGTCCAACGTAGATCATTTGAGAAGACTGGAGGAAAATTTTAGTATATAAGTTTATTGCTCACATATTTCTAGTCTATAGTGTAAACAAATCATATTTAAAAGTTCTAAAACCAATAAAAATAAAAGTTTTCATAAGATTATTGTAGTTTTATTTTACTGTACTATAATACTGTTAATGTAAGCCACCAAAAAAAAAAAAAAGGAAACAAAATAATAAATTAATATTAGACAACATCACAACGTTGCTCAGATTCCAAGATTTGTATTGACCAAATTCTACACAGTGACGCCTCAGGTTATATAAGACTGTGAAATTATTCTGATCAATTTAAATCCATGAAGATAAAGTTTAAATCGTTAATCTGTTTAACTTCTCATAGACTTTTAATGGCAATGCAATAAGATGAAATAAAGCATTGGCGAATACTCTAATAAATTTTACAAAATAATAGTTTATCTACTTTCATTTTGTGAAAACACAAGATAAATACGAATTAGGTGACGTCTTGCGAGTCGCGACCAATCAAAATAACGTACGATCATACCTCGGTCGAAACAGTTTTCACTAATTCGCTCCGGAAAAACGCGTCTCGTCTAGTAAGAACTAATTTTAACTGATATAATTATAACATGGAATACCTGAATTATTTATTTATTTCATTGCATGTGACTTAGAAACTAAATACATAAATTTCAGTTTATAATATTCACATGTACCTTGATAGGCATGGCAATATAGAAAGATGGAAAGAAGAGGGTCAGACATTCTATTTTATCTAAAACTTTTCATTCAAATATTCATTCACTGAATAATAGCATTTATTTAATAGTATATTCTTTAGCATTCTTATAAATCGAGTGTATGTTGTTTCGTTCTTTAGGTATTCAGGTAATGTATTATAAATTTTAATTGACATTTTATAAGTTCCGGAACTGTTTAAAGTTAACTTAGAAGGTATTTGGATTAGGTTATTTTTATAGCGTGGCGTATTATGACAAGGAACATCTCCTTTTTTAGAATACATGTTAGGATGCTGGCGAACAAATTTACAAATTTGTGATATGTAGATACACGGTAGGGTAAGTATATTTAAATTTCTAAAATGTGGTTTGCAAGTATCAGTTTGTTCAATATTTATTAGAACGCGGATACATTTCTTTTGCAATATTAACAGGTCTTTTGCGTCTGTGCTGTTCCCCCAGAGTATCACACCATAATTAAGCCAGGCGTAAGCGTACGCGTAATAAGCAGTAATAGCTGTATTGATATTTGTAGATTTTTTAAGTTCTCTTTGGGCGTAAATAAATTGGGATAATTTTGTTTTTACTTTTTGCACGTGAGGTTTTCAGTTAATGTTTGAATCAATTACAATACCGAGCAATGAAATGGAAGGAGTACAATTAATTTTTATATTTTCATAAGAGAAGTTAATGTCTATTTCGGCCTTCTGACGTGGTCTAAATTGCATTAATTTGGTTTTAGAAAAATTGATTTCCAAATTGTGGTCTTTCATCCATTCTACAATTTTTTTCAAGGTGGTTAATATTTCATCATTTAGGTTTGTGTCATTATTAAAAAATCGTCAACAAACATTACGCACGTCTCTTTTAAGATTTTCGCGAGGTCGTTGATATAGATGATGAAGAGAACACATCCGAGGACACTTCCCTGTGGAATGGACCCCTCCACCATCCGTACCTGCGACCTTACCGATGAGACTGTATGTTTTTTCGTTATTATTTTCAATTTCGACATATTGCTTCCGATTATCAAGATAGGATCTGAACCAATCGTGGACTACTCCGCGTACTCCTATTCCGTATAATTTATTTAATAGGATATCGAATGAAACTTTTTCATAAGCTTTAGTCATATCAATTAAAATGCCTATAGCATATTTCTTATCATTTAAAATATTTAGGACCTCATTAATGTACTTGAAAGTGGCCAATTTCGTCGATCGATTCTTTCGGAACCCCATTTGAGCATCGTCAAATACATTATCGCAAAAGGAATATAATCTACTAAACATCGCCTTTTCGAATATTTTTGAAATGACTGGTAATAATGAAATTGGGTGTTAATTATTTGGATCAGACTTGGAATGTTTTTTATGAATCGGCTTCACAACAGATACTTTTAATTGATCTGGGAAGCTGCCACTCTGAAACGATTGGTTGATAATAGTTGTTAATGGACTATGTTAATGGATTAGTTAACTCATTGGCGCATGTTTTAATCAATAATGATGGCAGTTCATCTATTCCGTAGCTAGTTTTATGTTTGAGACTACGTATCAGTGACAAAACCTTGCGTTCGTCTACGGGCCGCAGAAACATAGACCTTTCAGTGGGATGTAAGACAGGGCGACCGGTCACTAATGGCGCAGTGCTCGCACTGTTTACGTTCCGAGATTCTTGTCCGATCGATGTAAACACCTCATTAAAAGTATTTGCAATCAGATTAGGATCAGAAGTTAATCGATTCTGTATATTTAATTCTATATTTTTTCTCATTGGTTAAATTTTTTTGTTAGTTTGTTCTCTAATGATTTGCCACATACATTATACTTTGTTGTCTGATTTAATCATTCTTTCTATGGTTTGAAATTTTTTGGCTTTTATAATTATTACTTTTAAAAGTTTTTCGTATAATTTATAGTGTTTTACAAGGATTTTATTTTTTGAGTATGATGCATGAATTTTTAACAATCTTTTATTTTTACATGATATTTTAATACCTCGAGTTAGCCATAATTTTTTATTTTGTTTATGTAATTTTACTCGTTTTCGTGGAATGCATTTTTAACGAATTATGCATTTTTAATGAAAAAATTTTGTTTAACGAATTATAGTTTTCGTTTACGCTTTTATTTACCAAAATATAATTTTGCCAATGAATGTTTTGTAGGTATTTTTGATACGTAATAATGATATTTTTATTTTTCATATTTTGATTACATATTGTACTTCTTATATGTAAGAGCGTAGATTTATGATCCGAGAACCCAAATTCTTGTACAGTGGTTGTGATATTTTCAGTAAAATTTGTAAATATGAGATCAATGCAAGTTGAACTATTTTTTGTAAAGCGCGTTGCCTCTTTTACGTGTTGTTTAAAATGAAATTCCAACATAAAATTAATTAATTCTATTGACTTTTTTGGATTTTTTGCGGTTTTGAAAGTATCTATGTTAAATTCGCCACCGATTATGATTTTCTTTTTATTGAATTTTCGTAGAACATATTCCATTATTAATTTTAACTGATTATAAAAAATATCTGATTTCCTACCGTTCCAGTATAAAGTTATTAACAAAATCCCTAAGTTCAGAAATTCTATAGCACATACTTCCGAGATAAATTCGATTGACATTTCTGCTATCTCTCGCCGCTCTACGTAAGCGAAGCTGTCCTTTAATAATATACATACACCTCCCCCAACATGTTTCATTCGGGTGAATGATGCTGCCATACGATATCTCCCAAAGTGGACGAATTCCTCTTTCACTTCAAATAACCAGGTTTCAGAAATACAAATAGCCTAGTTTTCTTGACTGTCTTCTAAGAATGCTTCGAAGTCATCTCTTTTGTTAAAGAGGCTTTGCATGTTTTGAAACGTGATGATGTTAACAGTCTGTGTGTCGTCGTAGTTCGCGAAATGTATTAATTTTATTATATTCTGTAACCTCTGAGTGTCTATTCTCCAAGGCATTGTTCTGTGATGGATTAGGTGTCAATCACAGAACACAGAAAGACGTTAGAAGGGCCTTGTAGGCGTGGCAGCGTAGCCACGATCCTGGACAAATGTACATGATCATGACTTCACGCGATCGCGATGTTTAGTCATTCACGAACGCGCGCGCTGTAAGTACTGTGAAACACGCCACTAAAAGTGTTAAAAATGCCGACTTGCGCGGTTATTAATTGCAAAACAAGAAGCCCATCCTCAAGTAGGTCCAAAGGAAGGATTTCCTTCCATTAGTAAGTAGAACACTTCTCAAATTTAGTATTTTTAGTCGAAATTCGTGAAATGTTATCAAAAGTGTGAATCACAAAAAATATTATGATATGATATGTCAAATTAAAATGGCTTTTACTCGTTTATTGCGCACTATAGATGTCTGTTATGGTTGAGCGTGATTGGTTATAGCTATATTGGAGCGTTCTGATTGGCATGTTTAAAATACAAGTGTGTGCATATCTTTTGTATAATTGGTCTGATATTTTGTCTGATGTACGGCGGACTAAAAGTGGGGCAACACTGGCGACATCGGTTTTCGTACAAAGGATGCATGATCGCCTTTCTAACCCTTTCCGTGTTCTGTGGTGTCAATCTGTGATGATAGTTATTTAGTTGGTTGGTAGAGGAAGAAGTATTTTTGTTTGATTCTGGGATTCATACTCAGGGTTATATTCCTTTCCGTTTATAATTATTTATTATCCACTCGTCTGTCGGGCCGCCTAGCGACAAAAATGCACTTCTGTTGGCACCGCGTCGCGAGCACGTCACAGACAGGGTCGCGGAGCGTGTCGATTCTTATTAGAATGTGTTTTTTTCCAATAAGACCGTTAAAATAAGCTTAAACTAATAATATTCGGAATCTAGAAACAATTATCTAGTAGCATTATTAATTACAACTGCTCTGAAGAGTTAATAACAATAGAAAATAACTATGGAAAAATTGGTTCTAAAAAATTGGAATTATAATTTGGAATTAAATAAAAACAACGCAATGAGTTCTATGTATTTTTATTGTTATTTAATCCTGCCCATATATAAATAACAATACAAGCAAAATATTTGTACACGATCATAGAAATAGTTTTTGTGTAACAAGATTCTTTGGTACCTACCTACAAGGCATCCACTTGAAACGCGCGTCAAGTGGCCTTATATTCAGATCTCGGTTCTCAGTAACGATAACAAGTAGAACAAAGACTTTTTATTTATAGTAACTTAAGTTCATCTACTACACAATAAAATAGCGAGCCGAACGTTTAGTTTTATAGATTTTTCATAAAAAAAAAAACAAAAACGACACTAAAATATGACCTTTAAAACAGTACTTCCGAAAAATCTATTTTCTTGCCAAGTTTATATAAATATTGTAATAACAGTTGATATTTTGAGTTCTGGAAAGATCTATGGATCCTATTTTATATAATTACAAGTATGCTTCGAACTAAAATTTGATAATAAATTCAAGTAAAAACAGAGAAATTTGAGACATATTGGGCATAAACATGCTAGTTTAATATGGATAAGACATAAAGTGACGTATCACTTCACGTTTTAATTTTAATATATAAATAATTTTAGAACATACTTTTTTATAAGATTACCTAAAAACAAATGTGTAAGGTGGACATAATGCTAAAAACATTATCTATTAGTCAACTTTAGCAGATAAGTATATAAAGTATATAGGTAGGTAGGGGTTTAATGCTGAAAGTGCATTATTAAGGTGATATATTTAAAATCTAATAAGTTATTTATCACATTATTTACAGTCACTTGGAAAACATCAGAATATTGGCTATATCAAAAAAAAAACACAGGATACAATATAGATGGAAAGTTTTATCATAAACAAAAACAAGACAAAAATTTACAGGTAATGAACGTTTTTAATGAAAAATGCATATTAATATTTTAATACCTTTTTTATAAAAAACAACTTAATTTTATTTTGCACAAACTTGCACAATATTTAGTGTATAAAAACAATATATGTATTACAGTATACAATGGAACAGCTACAGAAATTAATTATTAGGTACGTAATAAAAATAAATAAGTTACCACATCCGGCTTCCAACAGTACACAAGTAGCCATGCATTTATTTGTAATAGAATTAATTTTATTTATCGAAATCTGCAATTTTCGAAAATAATCGGTGCAAGATTACAAAGCAAACATCTTATCTATACTATCCCACCATCGTCGACTGCCGCCATCTTAAACGCGAACTGGGTCTGTGGCGGCACCGCGCTGCGGTGAAGCTGTCTGTGGCGTGCTCGCAACGCGGGCGTAGCATTCCCAGCTTTGTTTTTAATGATTTGCAGCTCAATTTAAGCATATATAAGCTTTGTTACTCATAATAATAGGTAACAGTTTAATTTTAATACGCAATAAACAACAGTACAATAAGTTTTTATATTTATGTAACCTAAAAACCTTAAAGACAAAATTCGAGACCCTAGTGGCAAGCAGTGGAGTCCACACTTCAACGACGGATAAAACAAGAAAAATGGATTAAATACATGCTAATATTTATTTAAAATGAAAGAATAATAAACAATACTTACATTTTCCTCGAATAATTCCAAGCGGAGACACTAAACACAAAATCTTTATTGCTTTAAACAATGACTACAGTGAGCGGAGAATGTACCATAAAGTAACAGCTCACTACCATAAAGAATTGTATTAGATGTTAGATTTTGTTTGTTAATATTCCGTCTTTGTTATCTTACTCTTTATTACGTAGGAGAAACAGGGACAAAGGTATTTTAGAGCGCTGACTCGGCCGATTTAAGGAGACCGAATGTCAACCACCGCGCTGCGGTCATACCACAGATAACGGGGTAGATGACGATGCTCGCGTTGCGGTGGCACGACAGACGAGTGGTTATTATACAACAATTATTATACAATTTATGATACAATTTTTATTTATACAATTTATGATATACAATTAAAAAAGGCATTGAGTAAACACTAGTTCTAACTAGGGAAAACGCGTTTTATCTAAAAACTGGTTTTAACTCTAACATAGTGTATATATTTTAGATGATTAAACTAGTCATAAAATCGATCCATAAAATCCTTTTAAGTCTTCTTTGCACTTTTTTTATATCGAGCTAACTGTTTTAGTAAGCAATCGATCATGTTTAATTTTCATAAAATGATTTTTATTTGGCAACTATTACCAAAGCCTAAAAATAAAATTTGTTTAAAGCGGTAATTTCATACAACCTCACCTTAACAAAATAACTTCGAATATACTTTTCATTTGTACCTAACAGATAAAAATAAAACCAATAAACTGTTTTAAATACATAATTTATTTTCTATGGTACATCATGTTTCGAATGATCTGCCGAATCATGTACATAACACCAATATAAAAAAACAATTTTAAGGTAACCAAATACAGTTCATTTTCGTGTGCATACAGCCAAGTTATACGCTTTTTTGTTGTTCTTATATTACAACATGTGTTCACGCTTTACATTTTAATCATCAGTTTCACATTATATTGTTTATTAATCATATTTTTTCCTAAATGTCCCATACCACTCATTCAAAGACATTGCTATTAGATTTTTTTCAATATAAACATAAAAAATAACAAATGTTGCATCTCACACGCCCTATTTTTATTTATACACTTTACAGACAGTTGCTTTAATTTTCTTTTACATTATAACACATGTCGTTTTAAACGTTAACAGTAAAATACGACGGTGTTATCATTTTTTTTTCAAATGCCTTTCATTACAGGCCATCGTTTTATTGTCTACAAATTTATGTTTAAAAATCTCCTTTTAAAACAGCTATAAAAATAAAAACATTACCGGCCAAGCTTTCTAGAATACACTGTATTGCACTAAGATTTGAATTTTGAACAATGTATTTCCAATATATAGCAACTGTCTTATTTCGTCGGTTTTGCTATTTAACGGCAACAGAATGTTACCATTCGATGAATAATGCACTGTTGTTCTATTTTACTTGACGTTTATAGAATGTGAATGTGTATATGCTATGCCCAGGCTTTGCTTACAAGTCCATATTGACACTTCACTTTACATCTGCTTTGAGCAGAACTGATTTCTGCCACCTGCAAAATGAAAAAAGTATACATTATTTTTCCCTACGAATAAGGAATTCCGCTAAGAATTGGTGGTTGCAATCATTTTGAAACCAATTAATAACAGTAAATTAAATTAATGATTCTATAGTTATAATGATGCCCAGTGACACAAAAAAATATGTTACTAAATATGCGGTTCCCTAGTGCAAGGTGCACCTGGCTAGCTGCCGTCCTGAAGCGAGGTGAAGCGGTTTCCATACTGCGAGGTAGTTTATAGTAGAGTGAGTTGTCACCTGGCTAGCTGTCGTCCTGTAGCGAGGTAAAGCAGTTCCCTAGTGCGAGGTGTTGTATAGTAGAGTGTAATGAGTGTGAGTTGTCACCTGGCTAGCTGTCGTGCTGTAGCGAGGTGAAGCAGTTCCCTAGTGCGTGTTGTTGTTTAGTAGTGTGTAATGAGTGCGAGTTGTCACCTGGCTAGCTGTCGTCCTGTAGCGAGCTAAAGCGGTTCCCTAGTGCGAGGTGTTGTATAGTAGTGTTATGAGTGTGAGCTGTCACCTGGCTAGCTGTCGTCCTGTAGCGAGGTGAAGCAGTTCCCTAGTGCGTGTTATTGTTTAGTAGTGTGTAATGAGTGTGAGTTGTCACCTGGCTAGCTGTCGTCCTGTAGCGAGGTGAAGCGGTTCCCTAGTGCGAGGTGTTGTATAGTAGTGTATAATGAGTGTGAGTTGTCACCTGGCTAGCTGTCGTCCTGTAGCTAGGTAAAGCGGTTCCCTTGTGCAAGGTGTTGTATAGTAGTGTGTAATGAATGTGAGTTGTCACCTGGCTAGCTGTCGTCCTGTAGCGAGGTGAAGCAGTTCCCTAGTGCGTGTTGTTGTTTAGTAGTGTGTAATGAGTGTGAGTTGTCACCTGGCTAGCTGTCGTCCTGTAGCGAGGTGAAGCAGTTCCCTAGTGCGTGTTGTTGTTTAGTAGTGTGTAATGAGTGTGAGTTGTCACCTGGCTAGCTGTCGTCCTGTAGCGAGGTGAAGCGGTTCCCTAGTGCGAGGGGATGGCGCGTGGGCGCGGGGGTCGGCGCCCCAGTCCCGGCAGTGCTCCAGCCGCCTCGTTTGCCTCCTGCTCCCAGCACGGGGAAAGTATCGTCGTTGTGAATGTCGGGCGCGTGCTTCTGCAATTGTTAAAACGATTAACTTTTAATATAATTTCATATTAATTTTATAAACTATATCGAATATTGTGTACCAATTGTCAAATTTCTGATGGATCCGTCTAATAGTTTGAGCTGGGTGTTGATAAGGTCACTTTTGCCTTCTGCATATATAGATTTGAAATTCGGAAAATACACATTAGTTTTCACACTCATTAATTAATCTCTCTAATCACAAATAACCTATAACAGTTCTTCTCAGATTTATCATTTTAGTTCTATTTCGAACACTTCATAACCTAAATGGTTGATTTTTTATCCAGCAGGTGTACGACCTCTGACAATATGTGTCAAGTGAGTAGAGTAAAAACTAAAACGTAGTTAGAATGTAGCGACATGACAAAAGCTGAAATTCATGTACTAAGTAAGAGTATGCTCTACGACTGTTGACTTCCTGATGAAGTAAAATAAGTTCCATAGAATAGCGAGTTAACTATAAATACTAAGGATAACTATAAATCAAGTGAGCAATAGAAATAAACTAGATTTAAAAATGAATAGAGCGAACGAAACTGCTGCTGTCGCGATCTTCAAGTGACGATACACTCACTCTTGCAACACAGCGCAGACAATTTTAACCGGCACACATACACATATACTATTTAAATTATGCGCTTCGGCTATATTCGTCAAGCTTCGGCAATCCAAATTTATTTTAAAGATATCTATATAAAGATGTTATTACATAATTAATCATTTCGCTTAAATTTAGATTAGGTCAGCCAATTTAAAAATAAAAGAATACTTTGTTTCTTGCCATAAGCTGATACCAAAACGAAAACTTTAGATTAAAGAAAATTGAATTAAGATAAATCGGTTGTACTAACTAAATAAGTTTCTGACACCAGTAAGTAGAACAGTTTTTTTAATGAAACAAAATTCATCAATTAATATAAATTTATCAATTAATCACAATTTGATATGACTTCTATACCCGACATTTCAGAATCATTACTGTCGCTGCTGGAACCAATGTTTTAGTACCTATATTCAAATAAGGTAATTTGGCGTATTACAGCTCTATACAATTCTTAATACTGAAATATAAATCATATCAGAATTATATGGTGTACGCTTTGATTAATATAAAAAGGGAAGATACGGTACAAGCGCTTTGTTAATGGAAACTACAAATTAGGTGTAAGCACACAACTTCCCTTTTGACACTATTAGTATGGTCGATCACTCCATGAAGGACGCAAACGCTAAGAACAAAAACATGCGTGAACTCTATCAGGAAAAAGGTCGAACATACGCCCGGATGTCCTTTTATAAGCTATAGAAATAGTTCAAGAACAAAAAACAAAACTTCATGACATCACATTTCCCTCGTTAATATCATCATCAGCCGTAAGACGCCCACTGATGAGCATAGGCCTCCCCCATAGATTTTCACGACGATCGGTCCTGTGCAGCCCGCATCCATCGGCTTCCCGCAACCTTTATAAGATCGTCGGTCCACCTGGTGGGGGGCCTACCCACTGAGCGCCGTCCGGTACGTGGTCTCCATTCCAGAACTCTTCTGCCCCAACGGCCATCAGTTCTTCTCGCTATGTGTCCCGCCCACTGCCACTTCAGCTGAGCAATTCTTTGAGAAATGTCAGTAACGTTAGTTCTCCTACGGATTTCCTGATTGTGAATTCGATCACGTAGAGAGATACCAAGCATTGCTCTCTCCATTGCCTGCTGGGTGACCTTGAGCCTTCTTATGAGACCCATAGTGAACGAGCTTCCGTAAGTCATCACTGGCAACACACACTGATTGAAGCCTTTGGTCTTGAGACTCTGTGGTAATTTGGATGCTAAGATTTTTTGTAGCTTCCCGAACGAATCTCTCGTCGAATTCAGCTCAGATGGGCAGATCTGAGCTGAATTCGACGAGAGATCTCTTTCTCGAGGTTGGACTTGCCAAGTTGGACTGTCTGTCCTAGGTACACATAACGGTCGACAACTTCAAGAGTAGTATTCCCAATTTTAACTGGAGTGGGTACAACATGGACGTTTGACATGATTTTCGTCTTATCCATGTTCATCTTAAGACCCACTCTTTGATCAAATATTGTTCAGGTCTTCCAAGGGCTCAGCCATTAGGACTACATCATCAGCAAAGCATAGGTGTGTAAGATACTCGCCATTAATATTGATGCCATATCCTTTCCAATCCAGAAGCTTGAAAATATCCTAAAACGCAGCGGTGAATAGCTTTGGAGAGATAACGTCTCCCTGCCTTACGCCTCGTTGCAATTGAATAGGATTAGAGTTCTGGTTTTGTAATCGGACTGACATAGTAGCATTCTTATACAGACACTTTAGTGCTTCGATGTACCTGTAGTCCACTTGGCACCTTTGGAGAGACTGCATCACCGCCCATGTCTCAATCGAATCAAAGGTTTTCTCGTAGTCCACAAACGCCAAGCAGAGTGGCCGGTTATACTCTTCGGACTTCTGTATAACTTGCCGCAGCGTATGAATATGATCCACGGTACTATAGCCTTTTCGGAATCCAGCTTGTTCGGGAGGTTGGAAGTCGTCGAGCCTGCGAGTGAGACGATTCGTAATGACCCTGAAGAACAACTTATAAACGTGGCTCAAAAGCGAGATCGGCTTATAGTTTTTCAAAAGTGCTTAATCACCCTTTTTGAAAAACAGGACGATCTCACTCCCACTCCATGCTTTCTTTCGAGAATAATTCCGACGTGACCCGTTGCCTTGTTGTTTTTCAGTTGTTTAATAGCCACACTAATCTCATACAGACTAACGTCCGGAATTACTTCGGTAAAGTGTCGGGTAAGTTTGGCTCTAGGATCTCTTGCCTTGTTTTCGGCAGGTATTTGGGTGGAGTAAAGCTGTCCATAGAAACTCTCGATCTCCTTTAAGATTTCCGCTTTTCACGAGCTAATGCTAGCGTAATCAGATTTCAGCCTTGTCAATTGTCTTTGCCCAATAGACAGATCCTTCACGAACACTTTAGAGCCTTTGTTCCGCTCAATTGCCTCTTTAATACGTTCCTTGTTAAATCGGCGAAGATCGCTTCTCAAGGACTTTGATATCTGCCTATTTAGCAGACGAGAACGACTTGCATCTATTGAGTTTTGCAGGCTCATTTCGTGTCTCATTTGCATGAGTTAGAGTGTGTTATCAGTTTCTTTGTTCTGGGACGGTGGGTTTTGAAGAACTTGGACCCTACCATACGGACAGTATCCACCACCGTGCTGTTTAGATCGTCCACATCCAAATCGCTGTCAAGGACGCTAAAGCGGTTCTGAAGCTCGAGTTGAATATATTAAAATACATTTTCTAAATCAAAATCAACTGTTTAATAGGAATCTAGCCATTTTCAAGAAAGGATAAGAGTATCTAGCACATGTACATGTGTGAGAGAAGGAATGGATTTCAGTTATTTGGCGTGTTGCTACGCGTATGTGTGAAACGATGACAAGTTCCTGTCTCGCTCGTGTTAATGTTGAAATTCACTGCTGTCTCACTCGCCCGATTGACGTGCTACCGATAACGTGAGTTCCTGTCTCGCTTATACTATAATTGGAACTTACAGCTGTATCTTGCTTGCTCGGTGAATACCGTGTAAGGCCCCGAGCACAAGTCGTATTTTAAACGCGCAGACGACGCAGACACCGGGTTATCGTAAAACGTGCGTATTAGAGCAGATACAGCGACACAGAACACGCAACACACAATAAAAAATTATGTTTTGGGGGCCTAAGTGGCGTGAATGAGTTTACTTATGTAATTTTATCAGTGGTATTTATTAATCAATGCAAGTGTGAGTGCCGTATCTTCCATTTTTGTTTTAATCAAAGGGTGTATGTTTATGTTTTTAGTTAATGGTATGTATAGGGGCGTCGCCAGCATCATTGTAGCTAAATTCGAGAGCACATGAAGCATTTTACTTGTAATACAAGATTTACAACTACGACAATTATAATAACAGTACAGAGTCCAACTTGTAAAGTTACATGAACTCTTGACTGTAGAATAAATAAAACTTATAAATAAGTTATTAGAAACAGCAAATAAAAATGATTTGGGGGTTTGAATGTACACCACTTCTCTTCTCGACGTACGGGGATGATCGATCAAGCAAGTGACCTCAAAGACTTAAGTTTGGTTGCTTAACATTAAGCAACTTTTAGAATCTCTAGAGGGACGCAGCTGCCCCTCCTGCTACCCCCTGACGAAGCTTTTGGGTAGGTATATTATCGTAGGCAATACATAATGCAGTATACTCACGGCCTGGTTACGACGCAAGGGTGCTTCCTGTGGACGGCCGCGCTGTGTGGGCGGCACGTAAGCAGCGGGCTTGTTGTCTCGGGGCTTCGGTTCCTCTACTGGCGGAGGTGGCGGTGGCTGCTCCACTTCAACCTAAAATTCATAAAAAATATCTTACATATAATATTCATATACTATTTTAATATCAAAGCTAAGTGTTTAACAAAAAAAATCCACAATATCATCCGAAAAATATATAAAGAATCTACACAAACATGGGCTCTGTCTAGCTACATAAGTATATAAAAAATACAATACAATAAGCGTACCAGAAATAAACTAATAATCAAATAGTGACATTAATTTCAACTTACTCTTGTTTGTCAGAAAACAAAATTTTAGTTTATTCCTTCTTTTGAGCCAAAAACCTGTCTTACAGACTTTGGTCTGGGTTAAACATGTTCCCTGCATGATTTAAGGAATCTATAGAAATTCAAATTCACGGAAAGAGTACTTACAGGTTTCTTCCAGGGCCCCTTTGGCTTTCCGCTGCCATCTGGTGCAGAATCTTCCATAGCAGGGTCACGCCCAGACTCGGGCGTTCCATTTCCACCTTGGAGCACTTGAATCTTGAGCCCCGTGTAGTCCTTTACTGGTTCCTCATACTCTTTCCATTCTTCCTCTTCCTGAAACATCAAATAAACAACCATATCATAGATAAAAATACCTACTTATTTATAATTTTGTGGTCCTCTTGTCTGAGTAGCCCTCACTCCAGTTTTAAGATGTAATATGACATATCATAATAATATACCTTCATTTATCATACTTTGTAATCGTATCTTCTCTAGCAAATCCTCAGCAAAGAGCTAATATGCCTCCTAATTGTCATTTTTCAATGAATTACACAGGTCTGTGATGAAAAAGGTTTTTTGAGAATTTTAATAATAACGTGTATATTTTGACATACATAATGTAAATACAAACTTTTTTTATTGTAACATTTTTTTATTGGCATATTTTTTTATAACAAATTTTTCATACACAATACTTATAATAAATAAGTTTTTAATGTCATTAGCAATTTTTAACAACTTATTCCTTGTCTCCAATTTATTACAAAACCAATTACTCAGAGACTCGAACTACCTATACCAATTCCTTCTAACAATAAGAGTTTCAGTATACCTATATCTCAGAATTCAGAATATAGTGATCTTCCTAGCAATGGTAAGATTTTTAACCCTACAAATGATCCTCAACCATTCAAACAGCAAGAACTTTTTGATTTGGTATGGGATCTTGGATTACAAAGATGCTGTAGAATTACTCAGTTCACACTTAAATTTATTACTTAGAATTTATTATTATTATATATTATACCTATTTATTGGATGCAGAGACTACATTTTATTGGTATCAAAAAAAGAACAAGAATTTTTACAGGATTTCAAGAACAAAGTTATTTTGGTATTTTGCTGTGATATTAAAGGTTTAATACAAAAATTTAACATCGAATGTAAGAAGAAGAGTGGCGACATTTTATAGATTCTTCAAAAAGAAGTTTAAATGCTGTTCATAAATTTGCATCAATACCTGTAGCTCACTCAGTTCATCTTAAAGAAATTTATTTTAGAGTACATAAAATACTCTGAACACAAATGGTTCATTTGCAGAGACATAAAAATCATATGTATGCTTCTTGGTCAACAGCAAGGGTAGCAAGTGTACACAAACTTCCTGTGTTATATTTGTGAATGATTTTGGATAGTAGAACAAGAAATTTACATTGGAAAATATCTGATTGGAGCAATTAGACCAAAATTGGAGGTTGGAGAAAAAACTTCATTAACCCGGCTTTGTTAGACCCCAAAAAAAGTATTGCTTCCACCACTTCACACCAAACTTGGTCTAATGAAACAGTTTGTTAACAGTTAGGGCATTACCACAAGATGGCAATACGTTCAAGTACCTATTGCTCATATTTCCCTACCTTATTTGAGGCTAAGTTGAAAGAAAGAATATTCACGAGTCCTGACATCAGAAAACTGATAAAAGACTAAGAATTTAAAAAAAATATGATACCTTAGAACAAAATGCATGGAATGGCTTTAAAAATTTTATTTTTAGACAATATCAAAGATCCTTATTATAAAAGTATTGTCACAGAAATGTTGAACGCCTATAAAAACTTAGGTTGTAATATGAGTTTAAAAGTCCATTTTTTGAAATCTCATATTGATTTATTCCAAAAAAATTTAGGCAAATCCAGTGAGGAGCAAGGCATAGGGTTCCATAAAAATATAAAACAGATGGAAAGAAGATATCAAGGCCATTGGGACGTTATTATGATGGCAGACTATTGTTGGATGATATATAGAGATGATTTAAAAACCCATATATGAAAACCAACAAAACACAGTTTCCTTTCAAAGAAAACATGTTATTGTTTTTTTTTTTAAATTCGTATTATATTTCACTAATTTTAATAAATAAATTTAATGAAGCTTATAAAATTGTAAAAACAGTTTCATTATTTTTTTTTATTTTGATGTGTATTTATTTATATGGTTATACTATACCATGTAAATCTGAGAAGTGTGATGTATTTTCCAAATATATGCTGTTTTATATTATTTCTAACATAATTATAATCAATACAAACAATTTATGCAAAGACTTAAAAAAAAACCATACACCTGTGTTATTTTCCCTCATGACATTATTTTTAAACCTGGGATTAAATACTTAAATGATTTTATTCAGATTTGTAGCTTATGGAGGTTCATTAAAAACAATTCATTTTCTAAACAAGGCCTTACCAGTAATGAATTAATGTCTAATGGAGATTCTAGAAAATTGTTATTTAGGGCACATGATCTTTTTAAAGTTAAGAAAATTACATCACAGATACTGTGTGTCATGAATGTATACATTATTATAACTGGTTTCATAAAATTGAAACATTATATTGTGAGGATCTAATTCAATTACTTAATTAAAATTGTGAGTCATGATGATAATATTGTTTGTCAGCTAAAAGAACCATAATTACATTTACTCAATTATTAATACAATTATTAATATCTCTAAGTTAGAATATTGATATGCTTCATTAAATATCACTAATAACATTTTAAGTAGGTAATAGATGGGTTTTAAATAATCTCGACTATTAGTTAATTGTCACATCATTTCATTAATGGTATTTTACTTACCAACTTGTGTGTAACTTGTAACATATTTAAAGCTATACACAATTGTTGAAATGAAGTATGCATTTATGCTTATTGTTTTCATATACATGAATATAAAAACAGAAAAATATTACAATGATAATATGTATCGTCGGGGATAGTGCAAACCTGCGTAACTAGCATTGGATAATTCCGCGTATCTGACAAGTGTAGCCAATTTTAAATTTCGCGGGCATTCCACGCTAGACCCCGATTGGCAGCCTTCTCATTGACGTGACTTTCGTTCAACCAATAGAAAGCGAGAATTCGCCCAAAAACAATACTGCGTATCTACAACCGGCATTTTGACAAAACTGCGTATCTTCAGGTGTCATTGGAAGCGTATTTCGTGGTTCATTTGTGTTGTTAAACTCTGTGTTTACGTTAAAAAAAGTTATTATAATATCAGGTAAGTGTTGATTCAATGTTGATTAACTATTTTCCGTGTGAAATGTTAAGATTTAAGATTCATTTAAATGCATTTTTACTTCATCTACTCCTAAACTAACATTTTTGACCAAACTGCCCATTATTATAAAAATAAACGTGCCTAATATATCAAGTCTTTATAAATACTTTTAATATTGAAACAGATCACCGAATTATATAAACCAAGTGTTGCTTTGTCTGTATTTACACATTTTATGTAGCTACGCGGTTTTGCTTTCCGTTAATGTAATCTTACTATAATGAATAGTAAAACCGCGTAATTTACGTATTATTCGGATGCACTTGATTAAATTATTTTTATTTTCAGCATTGAAATGGCGAATGAGCCATGTAGCGAAGACGAAACACTTCACGTCGTAACATTAATGGATTTAAAGAAAAGGCGCGACAAGTTATTGGAGCTTAAAAAAAACATGTTGCGTAGGCAATCGAATCAAATCGCTGCTGATGAAAATACCAAAGAGTTTTCTAAAAACTTACCTAGTACCAGTCTTGTTAATTCTGAGAACCAAGAGGATCTTGCTAAAGAAACTGAATCTTTAGCTTATTGTGACACAACCACTTTTAGAGCTATTTGCTTAGAAAATCAGCTGGAGATTAATGATCATGACAATGTTTCTGGCCTGACTATAGCTTCAATGAATAATTTGGTATCTAACGCTTCTAAAGAGGAATTAGGCACTGAAATCAATAATGAACTAAGTGAATTAGATTTTGATTTTTCATCAGATGATTCTCTTGCCGACCCAAATTACTGTCCACTCTCTGAAATTACTAATGTTGCACCTATAGCTTCAACATCAACTGACAGCAATAATAATTTGTTTCCTGAAACAATTTTGGAACGTGAGGTGGCTATCGAGTCTAGAGTAAGGAAACGAAAAGCAGACGTAATGTCTACGAAAAGGTTAAGAAACAAGACGTTAAGAATGTTGGGTCAAGAATATGTAGGTTTTAGAAAAACTGAAGATGAAAAATTTTTACAAGACTCTATCAAACCTGCGCGACAACTTGGACAACTTTGTAAGTCAAGCAAATGTTTAAATAGCAAAGTATTTAACTGCGATAAATTTACAGAAACGGTACGAATAAATATTTTTAACGAATTTTGGAAGATGACTTGGCCAGAGAAGAAAATGTTTGTTTCATCTTTAGTGGACAGAAAAACAACTAAAAGGAAAACCACTGGAAGGGCTGATACAAGACGAAGTGCGTCAAAAGTCTATTATTTAAAATTAACTGACCAAAAAATGAGAGTATGCTTAAAGACGTTTTTAGGAACATTGGGAATTAAGGAGTGGACAGTAAGGTACTGGCTAGGAGAGAAACCAAATAAAGAATCGACTATAGGCCAGAGAGATGTTGCAATGCCTAAGTTGAAGGAGTTGGTACAAATATTTTTAAGAGCTATGCCCAAAATGCCTTCTCATTACTGTAGGAAAGACAGTACAAAACTCTATTTAGAACCCATAATACAGTCCAAACGTGAACTCTATCGTATTTATGTTAAAGAGGCAACAAAAAGTGGACACAAAGTAGCTTCCAGAAAACTTTTCGAGGATGTTTTGAAAGATGACAACATAGCTTTGTTTCAACCAAAAAAAGACGCATGTGATCTATGTTGCTCATATAAAGCTGGCAATATCACTGAGGAAATATATCAACAACATGTATCACGAAAAGATTTAGCAAGACAGGAAAAGACTTCAGATAAAGAGGCTGCAAAAAAAGGAATGCTTCACGTAGTAACAGCTGATTTACAAGCTGTAAAATTATGTCCATTTTTGACAGCCAGTGCATTGTATTTTAAAACAAAGTTGATGGTTCATAATTTTACAGTATACAATCTGGGTACTAATGACGTGAAGTGCTATTGGTTTGATGAGACAGCATCAGATTTAAAAGCATCAACGTACGCTTCCTTTTTTGTCGATTATTTGAAGAAAATCATAGAAGAAAGTCCTAAAAACGTCGTAATTTTCACTGATGGCTGTACCTCACAAAATAGAAATGTTGTAGTTTCGAACGCCCTTCTGCACTTGGCAATGGAAAAAAATGTGGTAATCACTCAAAAATTTTTAGAAAAAGGCCATACTCAAATGGAGGTGGATTCAGTTCACTCCGTAATTGAAAGAAAGTTAAAACACCGGGAAATATTTTTACCTAGTCAATACTCTTCAGTTACTAAAGAAGCTAGGCTGAATCCATCTCCATATGAAGTAGTAACGGTTGACCACACTTTTTTCAAGGATCATAGCATCAAAAGTAATCATATTTACGATACAATCCGCCCTGGAAGAGGAACTGGCGCAAAGTGCGTAGTGGACATTAGAGTTCTTAAGTACAATCCCAATGGAACAATCGAATACAAACTGAACTACAATGACGAATTTCAGCCGTTACCACAAAGGCCAAAAAAGATTGGTCCATTTATTCCACCACAGCTCTTTACTGAGAAATTGCCAATCACAAAATCAAAGTATGAACATTTACAGCAATTAAAAAGTGTCATACCCGTAGATTGTCATGAATTCTATGACAATTTACCTTATAAGGACAATTAATAATTCAAAATGTCTTTGTTAGATAGCTGAAAAACTTTGCTAATAAGTATTTTTTATTTAAATATATAAGTGTTATTTGTTTTTAAAATTACTGAGAGATAAAGTTTATTTTTGCTAAATAGCTGAAGAACCTAATATTGTTTTTTTATAATTTAAATGTGTAAGAGTAATTTGTTTTTAAAATTATTGATTGATATTTTTGTTATATAGCTGAAGCTCTTGTTTTTGTTATAAACTTTGAAAAGATTTAAGCTTGTGATGTCTATACTATCTAATAAAACCCTTAATTATTGAAAAGGCTGATAAATAATCCAAGACTGATAAAAAAGTGCTGTTGATATTTTAAGTTAATAGTTAAGGGAAATTGTATAGAAAAATACTTTGATTAATAAATAAGTTTCCTTTGTAAGAACAATGCTCAAAAGGTTATAAAGATCTGATTTTGTAAGTCGTATTTTGCTTTAATTATTAAATATTATTTGTAACATTAACTACCTGTTTAATTTCAAAACCGCGCAACTTACATGTTAAGTTCCATTTTGATAAGACTGTGGTCAAATCAAATCCGCGTAAATAGCGTGGGGGTCAAAATAATCATTGTAACGGATAATCTATGGCAAAAATACATAGAAAACATCGATTATTTCTCTATATATAAAAATGAGCCAAATTGCCCTTAAAATAACGAAGTTAAAAAGTTTTAACCTTCCCGTGAAAAACTAGATTAAATGCAGATACGCGGCCTTTACCTGTGGTAGATTCGCGGCTTTGCACTATCCCCGACGGTATGCAGAATGTGTTTTATATAGATTTTTTAAAATTTGAATGCCTCCAAGGTAGAATAATATTAGGTTTTGAAACATTTTTGAACATCCCAATATAAATACATATTATTGCACAAATAAAATACTTTGACTAAAGTTCATATAATATGCATTGTCCACATTGAGACCTTGGAACAGGTATTTGTTTAAATAACCTTGTACTTGGAATATAAATAAGGTTTATTATTACAGAATACTATTAATGTTGTTTAGGTTTTGTATTGTTAAATAGTCATGAGAAAAACCAATTATGCTACAGGAAAATTTCAAAAAGCACAAATATATTAACAAGAGGGTTTCAACAGATTTAGTTATCACAAGTATAGCAATTGTTTATTTATGTTTTATTGACAAACTTTATCTATAGTTAAAAGGTGATTTAAAGTTGCTTAATACATCTCATATTTTATTGATACACACTTTTAATTATCCATACTCATCAAATATTTGTCTAATAGTTATCTACAAAGAAATTTCTACATAACAATGAATGGTAATTTTGATATGTGATGCTGTGGCATGACACAAAATACAGGTTATGCCAACGAAAGGAAGAAAAGACCAAATTATAATTGACATTCATTATGATTTTAAACACTCGGATTTAAAACTTGTATTGATGTTGGTACGATAAGTAATTAACTTATAATAATGTAGCTCGTCTATCCTAAAAGATGAAATACTTTTGCAATGAAACAGAAAATTCCCTTGTGAGACAAATACTGCATCACGAAAATCACTAATCATTTATCATCCTAAGCGAAAACTCACCCCAGCTTTGCCGGCTTCATCTCCTTCTTGAACTGGCCTCTCTTTTTTAGGTCGTACATCTGACTTCTGTTTTGGATCATCTAATTTCTTCGATAATTCATCAGAGGTGGCAAACTTCTTAACTGCCTTAGACTTTTTGCGATCTTTCTTTGCAAAGAAATCGTCTAAATCAGCCATTGCGAATTTTGAATTTGTAATATGTTTTGCTTTGGTTGGTAATGAAGTAGTTACAGCAATATTGGAACGAAACAAAGGGGAATTAATCCCCAAAACGTGAAACGATTTCCGCAGCAAGCGTGGCCGACTGTTTCTTTTTTTTTAAATGGCAGCTGAATATTGCCTTTTGGTAAAATTTTATTAGTACCAAAAATTAAAAACGTTTGAGAATGTTGCCATACGCCAAAAATACACGATAGCGCGGGAAATTGAAAATCGTACTATTGGAGCCAAGAAGTTTAAATACCTAAAACTCTACATAGAAACATATTATATTGTAAATTTTGGGGACGCTAAATGTAGAAAGAATTTCATTATTTTGATATGAAATTTTGTAAGTACAATAATAATAATAATTCAATTAAAAACGGTTTACCGATTATTGTATTGGGTCACCACTTTACCGAAATGTTATGTGTTTTATTTATTAGTATATAGATTGATATTTAACTTAGGCGCCTATTACACTACCCAATCTATCGGGCCCGATCCATCGGGTACACTGTAAATTGGGTAGTCTAATCGTAGCACAGAACACGGAAAAGAGGTTAGAAAGGCGATCATGCATCCTTTGTACGAAAACCGATGTAGCCAGTCTTGCCCCACTTTTAGTCCGCCGTACATCAGACGAATAAATCAGACCAATTATACAAAAGATATGCACACACTTGTATTTTAAATATGCCAATCAGAACGCTCCAATATAACTATAACCAATCACGCTCAACCATAACAGACTTCTATAGTGACATATCACACTAGTGCTTGACATAAAGTTATTTACTATCGATATTGAAAAACAACAATTCGATTAATTGAAAGGATAATAGATTAATGATTTCTTTATATTAAATTGGATATACATTGAATTGTATTGATTAAATAAGACATTATCTTTTTTCTTTAGATATAAATTCTTAATTAGTTGGTTGATTCAATAAGAAATATTTAAATTACTAATGAACTAACATTGAATCGGTACTAGTCGAGCTTATATATATGCATATAATTATTAATAATAATAGTAGGTTTTTTTTTACGTTACGTTACTCGATTTCGTATCAAGTAAACAGATAAGATCGGCAACATCGCTTAAATGAAACTAGTAATATTGACAAACAATATAATGTAAATAAATATATACAAAATAAAAAAATACTATCAGTACAATAAATGCTATTGGAACTTATCCTGAACAGAATCCGATGATTTAAAAAGTATTGTTGTAATGGTTCAAATGGTTCAAAAAAAAACTAGTTTTCTGTTACAATATTAAGAATATAAAAACAGACTTATTACCACACTCATTATTAAATTAATATACAAACGCATTCCAAACGAATTCAATATAGTTAATCTCTGATTAAATTTATTTTTTATTACCACTATTGTCCATACTTTTATTTAGTTTTTACTAACTAACATACCAAGAATCGATTAAATGTTTCCAGGCACTTCACTACCCATCTACCGTAATCTATTATGTTGCTATTTAAAACGGTAATTTCGCGATATTCATTACATTACGTGCTTAGTACGACGCAATGTAATATATATGCGCACTTCTCCAGTAATGTATATTTTCTTGGAAATATTTTTTGTGATTCACACTTTTGATAACATTTCACGAATTTTGACTAAATATACTAAATTTGAGAAGTGTTCTACTTAATAATGGAAAGAAATCCTTCCTTTGGACCAACTTGAGGATGGGCTTCTTGTTTTGCAATTAATAACTGCGAAAGTCGGCATTTTTTAACACTTTTAGTGGCGTGTTTCACAGTACTTACAGCGCGCGCGTTCCTGAATGACTAAACATCGCGATCGCGTGGTGAAGTCACGATCCTGTACATTTGTCTAGGATCGTGGCTCCAGTGCCACGCCCACAAGGCCCTTCTAACGTCTTTCTGTGTTCTGTGAATCGTAGTTAAAGAGTTAGGGTCCCGATATCGGGTGAACGTGGGCGCCCGATCGCCCGATGAGAGTTAGGGCCGATTTATCGGGTAATGTGATCGCTGTTAGGGTGTTAGAGCGCTCAGTCGGTTGTTGCGCAGCGTGCGTGTGAGACGTCAGTGAACGACAACGAAATTTGCGAACAGACAAAAATGTCTTCTCAAAAGGAAAAGAAATAATATTAAGTGTAATTTAATATTATTACTTTTTCTTATATATATATATTCAATATGATATAATGTTTTAAACATTTCTAGATAGCCTTTGCATGTGTCTGGTACAATTATAAATTTTATATAAATTACAATAATAAAAACTAATGCTATAATAAACTTTATATTATTGTTGTGCCCGATAGGGTCCATAGTGAGACTAACTTAATTATGTAATATTATTTTAAATTACCTATGGAAACAATAAACTTATTGAGTATTTATACTTTAAGTCATGATATGCATTTCCCGTTGCTAAAAATTTTAAGGTTACAGCACAGCTAACCGCTGTTTTGCGCTATATAAGGTATGACTAAGTTTAATATATGATCAAATTGTGCAGAACTCATTCTGTAGTAGTTTGAACTGCGTAGGTAGTTGGTCATTTAGAAGCAAATATTTTTCACCCAACATTTTGTTTTATTATTTACGCCCGCAGTTAAAGTATGGGCTATGTCAATTTTTTGGTACTTTGTGAGCGGAGGAGCCATCCTTTCAACGCCACGTTTGCATGCCAACTGAGTTTGGGAGGCGATCTAGTGCAGTGTAATCACAACGACACCAACCGCCCTAAATCGCGGCCGATATATCGTGCCCGATAGATTGGGTAGTGTAATAGGCGCCTTATTGATAAGTTTACTATCTGACTCTATTTATACGAAGGATCGGTAAAATAAATAAACGTGTTCACAGTTATGAGTTTACTTTCAGACTATTTGAAGCTGAAATGCCACTTACAAAATATTATAGATTACGTTGCCACAGAGTGGTCGACAAAGATTATAAAACAGATGTGCCACAACGGTAATTAAGCTGGCTATTGAATTTAGAATTTTATCGACGAAATGCGATTGCATTGTTTACTACTATTGCAAGAAAATACGTCGCTGATACTGGGTGAAGGAACGAATACACAGACTATAAACTATCCGGAATTTGAAACGGAAATTCTCTGTCGTAATATGTAATAAATAAGAGGTCCACAGATTTGTTAGGATTTACAACAAGAAGGGTCTAATAATGCTTTAGTGTTAAACTTAGATAGGCTATTTCTTTAGTAGAATTTTCAAGATACCAATACCGATTGGGACTAGTGAACTTTTTAAGTATTTTTCTATAAGATAAATCTTATAATGTTAAGAGTTTTTTCATATGTACTATTTAAAACATGAATTCTACTAATTCTTAATAAATAAAAGGTCCACATATTTCTTTAGTAGAATTAGCCTATCTACGTTTAACACTAAAGCTTTATTAGACCCTTCTTGTTGTAAATCCTAACAAATCTGTGGACCTATTATTTATTAAGAATAAGTAGAATTCATGTTTTAAATAGTACAAGTAATAATTAAAAAACTCTTAACATTATAAGATTTATCTTATAGAAAAATACTTAAAAAGTTCACTAGTCCCAATCGGTATTGGTATCTTGAAAATGTGGTCAGGACTGATAATTTTTAAAGCAGTTTTCTTTAAGATAAATATGAATATTATATAAATACCTACTGTATTAAGCGTTGAGTGTATCGGAATCAAGGTCAATCAATTGCGTTAGGTACGGTATTTCAAATTTGAAACCCTAAAAGAAGTTTGATACAATCAATATAAATTATTATATATTAAATTATATTCTCTTTATCACTATTGACTCAGATATATTAATTTTAAAGTTTTTTTGTTTTTTTCACTAAAATCAGAGTCCAGATTCAGCTGGATGACATTGATTCTGACCTATTTAACAGTATCCATAAAAGTTCTTATTAAAAAATGTATAATTATTGTCATTCATCAATTTATCATTCACAATCCGTGATACTTAGGTACCTATGGTATATATAATATTAGTAAAAAGTAAGTAATTGGACGATAATCAAAAACGTCCTTTGACGATGTGTCTAATCCATCTAAACATCTTCATTTGAAATATTTCAGAGTTTGTAAACATATCAACATACCAATCGATAACGTAAATTCGAACAAATTATACGTTGATATACCTGCCTGCGCGATTGGTTGCTTATCAGTCACAGGTAAACCGTAGGCTAGGCCCGTCGATACTTTATCTTATCTACTTACCTGGTCACTTTTATTGAATCAAACGTTAAAATGTTGGGAGCTATTGCTAGAATTTCGAATAATGCTGGGCAAAGTGTAATGAAGCGGATCGTCAGGAATGGATCACATGGAGGCACACCAGGAGAGGTAAATCTCTCAATAATTCATTACCATTTATTACGTAACAGCACGATCTTTTATTTCGATAGTTTTCACCAAAATGAGTACAAAGATCTCATTTGAAAAGTAAAAACATCGTAAAATTTTGACGATAATCAGTTATTAAGGGATCGGCTAGAATTTTCGAGTAAAATAACAATTTGCGAACAATCGTGGATGATATCCCAGAATCACATTTTTCAAGAAATAGTCCGCCCACATGGATTGCAATATGAACTGGATAATAGGATATTAATTTAACTCATGAATAGCACATAATCTGTACTATATGAATACGTAGACATAATTAGTTAGAACATAGGTTTATAAAATATGTATTTTGGAATAGTTCAAAAATTTAATAAGATAATGTGTATGATATTCTTAGTGCACCCTCGTGATAAGAAGAGCGTTCTACCATATACCATATGCTAATTAGCTCTCTAATACCAAAACTTATTTTGGTCATAGTAATCGTCTTTTCGCCTATTTTGTAAATATCATTTATGACGAAAATAGCCCGTAATTATAGACACTGCAATAAATAACCTTCGATCACATATAAATGGTGCTATTAAATTAATAATGTATACTAAGATCGATCCCCACCTTGGGTTATTATATTCTAGCAACTATTTTTGTTTTCTTCAAAATTGTATCAATATCATTCGTTACTATTTATTTTAAATCTTAACTTCAAACTTTAGAGCTTAAAGTGAAAAATATTTTTTTCTAATATAAAGTTACTTATTTAAGACTGGACTCAGACTGTTATAATATCACTTCACACAAGCGACAAATGAATGAAACAATAGGCCATAACAACACATAATCTGTTATGAGGCTAGGTACATTCGATGAAATCAAACGCTATCACGTATATATACTGTTGGATTTCTTGCGATGATCCTCTTCATGCCTGTAACTAAGCTTCGTCACATCATCAGCGTATAAAATTAATGTCTCTAATGCAGAGCTTGTGGCAGAAATATTAGAAATAAAATAAAAATCTGCTGATTTGCAGTAGACAGTAGTTAGTAGTGGACTTGGTCATGTAATATAGTCAATGAAGCACTTTTAATCTATGTTACCTTTACGTATTTCACAGCATAAATAAATTTGAATTTCAAATTGCGCCTCCGCTATCAGGTGCTCTGGTGGTTAGGGCAGTTGCCGATCAGTGTGCCGATCTCGGCACTAACTACTGAGTAGCGTGTAGTATAACTTTAATCAGTAGTTCCACATACGGAAATATCAACCGATTAAAAACTCTTGCACATTTTTAGCATGAGCTCTTGTACTATATTAAGTATTGGAATACCGGCTATAATAAGAATATAAATACAAGCTTTTCTTTCCTCCAAGGCTTTAAGAGTTGTTATCAGAAAATCTGCTAATATGAATACTTGTTATTTTCTTTTTTAAATATGCTAAAATTCCTACCTACCTAATTTCAGAATCTTCCATTCGACATCCACAACAGAAAATGGCTAACATTTAATTTCTTCTGGTTTGTTGGTACCGGCATGGCGGCCCCGTTCCTGGTTATGTGGCATCAGCTAGCGAAGAAGTAATGGTAAGTTTTCACAGCAATCATAGGTTTAGACAAGGATAACAGAAAAACTCTTGTAGAAAAATATTTCGTTCTGGCCAACTGCTCACACAAAGGCACTCCTCAGCTCAACGCAGAGATTAAAGCCGCGGTTCCCGACACCTTCTTATTTGGTATCTGCTTTATATACCATGAGTTCACTTTTTCGCATTACGTACATACAAAGATATTTAAATTCAGTAACCAAAACGCCGTATATGATTTGAAGTCATTTAACAAAATAGGCGATACTTGACCCTTTGGTGCGGAGACTGATCTTTGTACAAGGGTGATCTGAAAAATTCTCGGCGTGACCGAAATTTGCGGGTAGTATGTAAACTAATTTTATGTCATTTGACAGCTCGATTCTTTATTTAATCGTATGTCAAATGCCATTGTGTTGAGACAAGGAGAGAATATGTAGAAAAATAAAATAAATCATTATTTTTATTTTCTTGGTCGGGTCGAGAACTTTTTCCACTCTCGTAATTATTGCCCTGTGCTACTGCCTAAAATAGACAAAAAATCTATGGTTATGAACTTTTGTTTTATCTGCGGAACCCTAATTGCGTTAGACCAACTCTTTCCTCAACACCCACTCGACTTCATTCAATTTTTTCCTTAATACCTTAGTGGGTTTATAAAAGTAACAATATTCTCTTTGATTTTTCAGGTAAACAGTCCATAAAAATCGAAGACTATGAAATATCTAATCTTGTAGAATTTTAAGTCATTTTGAATTACATAGCCATATTTAATATATATAATAGATATTAACTGAATTTTGTCTCTTTTATTTCGACATCAATCTGTTATAATAAGCACGTTCAGGGAACGTCAAAAAAACTACCACCATTGGAGATTTTATTAATCATGACAAACTTGAACGTTTTGGTAGTTTTCGAAAAAAAAGTGAGCTAGGATTATTGAGCGAATATATTCAAGATTTTGATAGGATTTGCAAAATTTTACGATGTTTTCACCGTTGGCACGTATTTCAAACAAACTGGGTAGGAATGTTATGACCAACTTTGTGAGGAACCACTCTCATGGTGGTGTTCCCGGCGAGGTGAGTTCCAAATTCAAATTAATTACTATAGTACTGCATTCATTACATAACCCTATGCAGTAGTCAAGCCTTGATTTTTCTTTGTTTTTACTATAAAAAGCCAGTGTCACATCAAATTTAAACCTTAAAACACAGGTTTTAGGAATTAAATATATCCCAATAATTCTAAAATAGTTCTAATTTGAAATTGTTATTCTTGGGTGCCACATTTTTCTTTTTAATTTCAATTATCTAATCATCAGCATCCATTGATATTAACATAAATGTTTTCTTTGAATTTTCTTCAGAATCTGCCCTTTGATATTACCAACCGATACAAGCTCACTTTGTATTTCATCCTATTTGCTGGTTCCGGTCTTGCTGGACCTTACCTAATTACTCGCCACCAGCTTCTCAAGAAGTAAGAGTGTAAGTCTTTAAAAAATCTTATTTTAATATTAGTTATTATTTTACTGATGTAAAAATGTTTTTGACTGAAATCAGGTTTTCCCATCTCAAAGGTCTCAGGTTTGATTGATATTTGGTCAGATTCAATGTAGTACTTTTCAATATTGTGTCAGATCTCAGGGTAGTTGTTACCGTCATTGTTTCAGATTTCCTTAATTCAAATGCTTTAGCTATTTTTTCTTGAGATCTGTATAATGTATTGTAATTGGAGCCACCTCTAATCACAATGTAATAATGAGTCATTCTGTTATTACTAGTGTATGTGTGTACAAAATATAAGGTGAATTTTCAAATTTCACAAGCTACGTACATTCATCTTTTTTTAGCTAAAAAATAGCTAAGTTCACAGTCTTAGCTATATAGCATGTTTAGTTTATTTGCGAGAGGCATAAATAAGACAAGTGTTTTGTGAGTCCTCCATTTTCTGCTTTCAAATGCTCAAAACTACTTGTAATATTTACAGTGGCATTCAGTAAGTATACTCTGAGTCAAAAAATCTTTACAAATGGCTCATACAATGTGTAATTGTGAAACTTTCTCAACATTTTCATTGGTTGTTGATATGCTAGGGTGGCCGGTCTTATCAACCTTCTGTGCATAGCTTGTACCACTTGTAGACATTTTTTTGACTCAAGATTATACTTACTGAATGCCACTGTAAACATTACAAGTATTTTTGAGCATTTGAAAGCAGAAAATGGTGGACACACAAAACACTTGTCTTATTTTTTTCAGTAGAAAATCACCGATCACTACAAAACACTAATTCTAATATTTTTATCTGTCTAAAACAAACTAGGTATGCTAGTATATACTTGAAACTTACACCTACACAATAAGAAAAAATACATGATGAGGAAGTATTAAAAAAAAAATAGTTCCTGAAATCAAACTAGATGTCGCTACGGTGCGTTCTTGATTTTTCCATGACAACCTTTCCGGTTTTCTTTCATGTTTAAAAGTAAATTCGTTTTCAAAACTCGACAAACAACTCATATTCTATTTGTACTTCTTCGTATTTGTATTGATATCTAAGTATCGAACTTTTCAAATTTCAGTTTTTTAATATGTTAGTTAAAAGGAACAGAAATGACTGTCTTTTGGTCCATTGGTTTCGTGCTAAAATCAACTTTTGCTAGTCGCCATCTAGTGGAGGGACTATTTTAGTGCTTTTTTTAATAATTCCTCATTGAATGTATGTTGTCTGCGAAATTTGAAAAATCACCTTACTCTTTGAACTCACCTTGTATATATGTCTTATTTTTTTTCAGATAGTGTAACTATGCCAGCTCTGCTAATACATATTTTTTAGGATAAGATAGTAAGAAGTGTATCATAAAGCATTATTAAACACTATGTTGTAAAAAGTTTTTTTGTTTTGAATCCACTTCATCAGTCCACCCTATATTCTCCTTATGCGGAATGGTATGCATGCTGGTGTGATAGATTTTAGGGATAAGTGATAACCATCCTGATAATCTAATTTATTACTTCACTTACTAAATAATACTATTTACCTCAAGGAGTAACTGTATTTTGCAAAAGAACTGAAATAGGATTCTATATGCAGCATAAATAGAAAATGATTCATAATATTTGTGCTACTTGCTCATAGGGAACGCGAACTGCTCGCCTCTTTTCCGTGAACTTATTTATTATTCTGAATCATAAGCAACTAATGAGGGAGTATTTAAAAAAAAAAAGAAAGCACTAAAAAGGACACACTCCAAATGAAATTTGAAAAGTTCGAAACTTATAAATCAATACAAATACGAAAAAGTACAAACAGAATATGAGTGGTTTATTGAGTTTTGAAAACTAATTTACTTTTAAACATGAAAGAAAATCTGAAGGGTTGTCATGGAGAAATCAAGAAGGTACGTAACGACATCTTGTTTGATTTCGGGAACTAATTTTGTTTTTTAAATACTTTCTCATTCAATAGTAAATTAATAACCTATATTGAAGCTGGAAGCCAAAAACACTTACAAACCCGCAAAATTGATTTTGAACAGAATTTCTTTGTAAAAAGTGCATCTCAAAATTTGTGGACGTAGTGAATTTAAATTCTTTTTGGATTGTTGGATCGCAGGATTGTATGATTGATTAATTGGATGGTCAGTATGCACGTTCTCGACTATTTAAGAGGAGACTGTCACATGTTTATGTTTTGCAAAATCGAAAACCACCTAAAGATAGGTTTTCATAATTGTGAACCAATACAAGTATTTCACATGTATCTTATCATAATAATAATATCATCATCAATGTAAAACATTATTACCGAAGATTAATTAAGGCTTTATTGTCTAAGATCTCCGCTTTCAAAAATGTTAAATTAATTACCAGTGTTGTCATATCCTTTTCTTTGTCTACTTTTCTCATAGAGTCAGGTAGAGTGGAAATATTTTCTATGGTTATATAAATATCATGCAATCTGAAGTTGACATCAAAAACATCATGTTGTCTTTTTTTAACTAATAAGAAGTTTCTTTAGTAAACAAAGATAACACTAGTGTGACAGTTCAAAATTTTTTACGTGACGTCATGAGATATAGCTATCGTACCACCTGTCAGCCATTTGCAAATTTGCTTTGCGTATTCTCGGAAGTAGTTCAGCTGTCAGTGTTATAAGTTTTGTGGTTATTTTCATTTATAACTTTAATTTATATAACTTTCATGGCAGAAAATTGTAAATTATTTATGCAAAACAATATAAGTGCTGTATAATTGGTTGTGCGTCATCAATATCCCGCAAACCGAGCATTATTACGTTTCACCGGTAAGTTAAACACTTTCTTGGAATAACAGTATTTAAAACGTAAGTAAGTTATTCTGAAAATGATTGCGTGTATAAATCGATACATATCGTATTTTGGCGTGTTCTATTTATACTATATTGCTCTTTTCGTTTATATTTTTATAATATTTCGGTCCGTAAATAATATTGTTTACATGGCTAGTGTCGTTACTTTAACATATGGTTTATATCGATAATTTTAATATTTAAAAATATATTAATTATTTTAGATTACCAAAAGATGAAACAAAAGAGGAAAATGGCCGAGTTACATAGAAGCAGAAAATATTAAATGTAATGAAAAAGTTACTTTTATCTGCTCACTTCATTTTAGGGAAAGTTGTTTGAATCGAACTTTAAATATAATAAAATTACGAGATGATGCATTGCCAATCAAATACTCTGGTAAGAATTTTTGACAATTGCTTTTAACTTATTTAAAAAAAAAAAATGTCTATTACACTTAGTTAATTTTCATTTGATTTTACTGATTTATTTATTTAGTTTTTTATATAGTCATTTTGTTATTCTATAAATGTACCTTATTTTTAGTCTTGCGGTCATATGACGACTATTTTAATTGAAAAAAAAAATCAGAATGCAATATATAATAATATTAAAATATAAAATTCTGATCATAATATACTCCCAGTAAAATATACAATAAAATGAGTTAAATAATTTTAATAAAAATTAAAATATGCACACTTATCAAATTAAAGGCATAGTTAAAGGTTTTCTTTGCTGTTCAATAGTATAATTACAACACACACCACCATGCACCCAACACACACACTTAACACTTTAACAAGAGCGCTTTAAACTAACTATTAATTAATTAATTATAAAATATAAATTTAATTGTTTTTGCTAATTCATTCATGGAAATTTGATGAACAAAATTTATTATTATTGTTTTTTTTTTTTTCTTCTTTTTATTTTATTTTCTTTTGATTATGTAACGGTGTCTCGGTGATATTTGAGAGGTGGAGGATTGATACTCTCGAATACAGGATCTCGCCTAACGAGATGTCAATCCGCCATAATCTAATTTTATTCTACATATTTAACCACTACATTTGTAATGATTATGGTGAGAAATAAATAAATTATTATTATTATTATTATAATCTTAATACCCAAATAATTATTTTGCGGCGTGGATGTTTATTTTGCTGATGCATCATAAAATACGCTACCTTTTTGAATTTAAATTGCTGACCGTTATCATGATTGTTCACAGAACATGAACTGCAGACTGTTTTAGTGCTGAGAAAATATTTGTATGCTTGATTAATCGGCTGTTTTCTTCTTGCTTACCAAATTTTTAAATAAAATGCCAATTGTTACTTCTTTAATAATGTTACTGTTATGCCAATTGTTACTTATTCATCACCAACTTTGTTTTCTTTATTTTCTCTTGTTTATTCATCAAAGTTTACAGTATTTTTATGTTCTTTTACCAATAATATAATACAAAGATTATGTAGTTACAAGCATATAAGAAAGTCGAAACTCTGTGCTTATAGTTCAGCAATCTATTACGGGAAACCTTGTACCGAGAAAAGAAGAAACTGTAAGAAAGGAACCGGTAAGAAACTGCAAGGGCTGCTTTTGCACCCTGTTTAATTTCGTACTGAAAAATAAAAAATGACTTCATTGGACCAAAATGTCACTTTCCACCAAAACAATAAAAAATATATAACAGACAAAAAAAAGCATAATAATTCATTCGTCAATCGACTCATTAAAAGCTTATTATAGTTACCGTGGTAGTTATCTTGGACAGTAGTCACACTTCCCGTGGATACAAAATTAAACTTATGTTAAAAAAACTATTTAATTATAATTGCAAAATGTCAACTTGACAATATATATGGAAATAATTATAAAACACGATTGATATTATTGTAAAACTTTTAAGATATATATTTTGGTACTATAGTTCTTAAAACTTTGTAAAATTGGCTATATTAGAGGTTAAAGAAACATATTTATCGAGGTACAATCATATTATAAAATTATATTATTAAATAATATAAATGTGAAAGTTGTGAGGATGGATGTTGGTTACTCTCATGTAAAAACTACTGAACGGATTTTGATGAAATTTGGAATACGAATAATCTTTTACCTGTGGGAAGCGCCATCATACGCTGGTAACATATGTTATATTTACTATAGTGACGCAACGGAGTCGCAAGAACAAAGAACGCAAGAAATTTTAGATTTCCAACAAAATACGAGCAAAAGATTGCTTAATGATTTATAAATAATTGATAAATTCACGCCACTTTATTACTTTATTATATTATTTTCTTGATACTGGCGTGAATTTTTCAATTTAATTAATAATAATCATAAATAGGATTGGTGCATAAGTGTGAAATGAATAGAAGTGTAATAGGTAATAGTTTAGTCATGCCCCTAACAATGAAAATTATATTATATTATTTAATAAGTTTAATAAGTATATTATTTAATACACAACAACCCGTTGAAAGCAATGCTCAGGACACCAGAGCAAAGCTGACCCGACATCACACCGAGGATATCCCAGACATCAGCCTGTACGAGATTAGAATGGCACTCAAACAGCTGAAGAACAACAAGGCACCGGGGGATGACGGAATCACTACTGAACTTTTGCGAGCGGGTGGAAAACCGGTACTCTTAGTCCTCCAGAAATTGTTCAATTCCGTCATTCTCGAGGGTACGACGCCAGAAGCGTGGCACAGAAGCGTGGTTGTGCTCTTCTTCAAAAAAGGTGACAAGACCTTGTTGAAGAATTATAGACCAATCTCGCTTCTGAGCCGCGTTTATAAGCTGTTTTCGAGGGTCATTACGAATCGTCTCGAACGCCGGTTTGATGACTTCCAGCCTCCCGAACAAGCCGGTTTCCGAAAAGGCTTTAGCACCATAGACCACATACATACGCTGCGGCAGATTATACAGAAGACCGAGGAGTATAATTTGCCACTTTGCTTAGCGTTTGTGGACTATGAGAAAGCCTTCGATTCAATCGAAACCTGGGCAGTACTGCAGTCCCTCCAACGATGCCAAATCGACTACAGGTACGTCGAAGTGTTGAAGCGTTTGTATAGCAACGCCACAATGTCGATTCGCTACCAGGAAGAGAGCACGAAACCAATCCAATTGCGCAGAGGCGTGAGACAGGGAGATGTCATTTCTCCGAAACTGTTCACGAATGCATTGGAGGACGTCTTCAAGCTCTTGGAATGGGGCGAATACGGCATCAACATCAATGGCGAATACATCACTCACCTTCGTTTCGCCGATGATATAGTCATCTTGGCAAGATCGATGGAACACATCAGTACAATGCTCAGCGACCTGAGTATCGTTTCCAAACAGGTGGGTCTTAAAATGAACATGAACAAGACGAAAATCATGTCGAATGTCCATGTTGCACCCGTACCGGTGGTCTTTGGAACTGATACTCTCGAAGTTGTCGATCACTACGTGTACCTTGGACAGACAATCCAGTTAGGTAGATCCAATTTCGACAAAGAGGTCGCTCGAAGAATCCAACTCGGCTGGGCAGCGTTCGGGAAGCTACGCGATATCTTCACGTCCAAATTACCACAGTGCCTAAAGACGAAGGTGTATAACCAGTGTGTGTTGCCAGTGATGACCTATGGCACTGAAACGTGGTCCTTAACTGCTGGCCTCTTAGAGAAGCTCAGAGTCGCTCAGCGAGGCATGGAGAGAGCTATGTTAGGGGTTTCTTTGCGCGATAGGATCCGAAACGTGGACATTCGCCAAAGAACTAGAGTGACCGACATAGCTCGCAAAGTTTGTAAGCTGAAGTGGCAGTGGGCAGGCCACATCGCTCGACGAACCGATAACCGATGGGGACGAAAGGTTCTCGAGTGGAGACCACGAACCGGAAGACGCAGCGTGGGTCGACCCCCGACTAGATGGACGGACGACATCGTCCGAGTCGCGGGCGGCCGCTGGATGCAGCTGGCGCAATGTCGTCCGTCGTGGAGTTCAAAGGGGGAGGCCTATGTTCAGCAGTGGACGTCTTCCGGCTGATGATGATGATGATGATGATGATGATGATGATGATGATTTAATAAGTAGTAGTATTGTAGCAATTTCACGAAATACTAACTTTTCGATATCTTGGGTCACGCCCTTTGACAATCCGCCATCGAAGAATTTGCATTTGAAGTTTAGGCATATACGCTTTTTTCGTAGGTATGGCCGGTCCTCTTCTTTTATGTCTATGACTTTTCTACCGATTTAACGTAAAAGAAGCGTAAGAGCTACTACTTTTTACGTAATAAAATTTGCATTAAAAATGAAATATTTTTAATAGGTAACTTACTTACTAAGACTTAAAATAGCATTTTTAGAGCGCCATTTTTAGAACTATCAGATACGACAATATTTTTTATTTCTCATTGCTTTATCCTCATTTTGCATTTCTACCACTTTGTACTTCAATCCTTAGAGTAACTACTAACGCACACGACCCTACTCAAATCTTATAATATAAACCAAATTCTCTTAGTGGTCTGTTTTACAAACTTTGTGATATTGACTATAAAGACACGACTGAAGGTCATGGAAGCCAGGGCCGATAAAACGTTTCAAAAAAAAAAGTGACATTGAGAATTTTCAAGATAAAAACCCTCATCCGACCAGTGATGTGTCGAGTCGACTATATTTGGTATTCGAATACTTTGGTACTCATTAAAAAAAGAATCGAGCCAGTACCCGAGGCAGAAGAGTCGGGTAGGTATTCAAGTACTAGCACAAGTATTCGAATACTTCAGTGGACTCGTGTATTATTTCAATCGAACTTTGTAATTTGCATGAGTTTGACGACAACTACACATTATAATGAACCATGAACAATAGGCAAATATTTCAATAATAATAGATTAATACAGCTATAATCATTCATTTAATCATACCAATCATACTTTGGTAATTATGAACATTATTAAAAAGTTCTATAGAAGCACGCAAAGCAAATCTTGATTTTATAATTTTAATCTTACTTAAATTCTTGAAACTGTAAATAACTTTAAAATAAACAATTAAATGAAATAAAATAAGAAAAATAACAAGAACACTTGTTAAATACTTTAAGTTACGTAGTAAACGTTAAAATCTTCTATAAAATTATAGTACGAAACGAAGTACGTTCTGAACTAATTCTTCTGTACCATTAGTCACAAATAAAACCGTTCTTGTTTAGCTAAAAAATTGCTATTAAAGTACACGACTTAGGATTCGAATACCGTAAGTACTCGAATCCTGTACTCGAGTACCTGCATATCTGAATTCTATATTTTAAGTACTCGAGTACCTGAGTACCTGCTATGTATTCGAGTAAGTACTCGAGTTAGTCTGACTCGGCACATCTCTACATCCGACAGTAATTTTTATTTTCTTGAATGATGTTGATTTTCATGATAGCGAGTTGTTTTCTGTGGTTACTCGAATTAATTGTTGTTTGTTTGTTTATTCCCATTATAACTTTTTGTATTGTCGTACTTTCAATGTTTATCGAATATCACATTGACACTATAAAAGAACTATTAATAAGAACGATCGACGAGCTTAAGAATCTTAATAACGTGTGTTTCAGACACTTTTTGTGATTACCGGTAACCTATATTTAAAATGTCTGAAGGTTCTTGTTATATTCTTGATAATGGAGCATACACAGCGAAGGTGGGCTTTTCCTCGACGGAACCGAAGATTGTACCTAACTGCATTATGAAAGCAAAATCTGAAAGACGACGCCCATTCGTAGGATCTCAAATAGATGAATGTCGTGATGCCTCCGGACTGTTTTATATTCTACCGTTTCAAAAAGGGTTTCTAATTAACTGGGATACACAAAAGACTGTCTGGGATTATATGTTTAGTAAAGAATGCTGTCCGGTTAACTTTAATGATACACCATTGATTATAACTGAGCCATTATTTAATTTTGCATCAATTCAGGAAGCTATGACTGAAATATTTTTTGAGGAATATGAGTGCCAATCTCTTTTGCGCATAAATGCCACAGATTTAGCTGAATACAATTACAGAAAGATACATAATAACCAGTGCACTGTGGTTGTAGACTCTGGTTATAGTTTCACATACATTGTGCCATACATTAATGGTAAGAAGTACAGGGAGGGCATAAGACGAATAGATGTTGGTGGTAAAGTTTTAACAAATCATTTGAAAGAGATTTTGTCATATAGACAGTTAAATGTGATGGATGAAACATTTGTAATAAACCAAGTTAAAGAAGATTCATGTTTTGTATCACAGGATTTTATGAATGATATGGAAATTGCTAAAAAGAAAGGTAAGAAATTACACATTTCAAAAGAATTAAAAAATGGAAATAGATATTGCATAAATAAACTGGTATATTTTTGGTCTTTTTTTTAAATATAATTTAATAGACATTAAATATCTTATTATATTACAGGTTCAGCCAATACATGCATCAAAGACTACATTCTTCCTGACTACACAACAATTCGAAGAGGTTATCTTCGTGACATTGTCAAGCCTAATGAAGACTTAGAACAGCAAACATTACGACTAAACAATGAAAGATTCTCAATACCAGAACTCCTATTCCACCCCTCAGATGTAGGTATACCACAAATGGGTATACCTGAAGCTATAATGCACTCTATAAACTCTTGCCCTGAAGAAAATATGGAGAGTTTGTTAGAAAATATCGTTTTATATGGAGGCAATGCAATGTTTCCTGGTTTCAGAGATAGAGTATTCAATGAAGTCCGTTCTTTAGCTTTAGACCATTTTGATGTAAATGTCTATTTGCCTGATAAGCCTATTACATATGCTTGGGAAGGTGGGAAGCATATTTTTAGAGATCCAGATTTTTATTCTTTCTGTATGACTAAAGAAGAGTATGAAGAAGAAGGAAAGGCACTTGCTTTTGAAAGATTTGATATATAGCGACGGAAACGAGTGAAGAAGTCTTTAGAGTAAGACTTTCGCTCGTAAAAACATCATGAAAGAGGTTTGAAATTATGGATATCAAAGTGCACCTAAAGTGCACTAGGGATGGCTGAGAAACATGATGAAACAACTAATATTGGAGTAAAAATAATAATTTGATATATGTATCTCAAAATAAATATTATTATCAGTACATATAAATTTTTGAATCACTTTGGATGAGTAATGATATCATCACTCGTTCAGAGTGATTTAACGGGTTAACGTCTAATAATATTAGATTATTCAATAAATCTCAATAAAGCCGAAGTACAAGTTAAATATTCATTTACAATTTGATGTAACTTTGTCTATTGATATGTTAAAAATAAAGATAGGTTGTATTCAGTTAGAGATGCCTTTGCATACTTTAAAAAAAAAAACCCAAATGTCAATGTTGCCAAACACAAAATCGGTGTTATTTTTTTGATTTCGGGAAAAGCTATTTTTTAATGAGTATATAGGTAATCCTGTTTTAAAAAATCTTTTTGTCAAACTTGATCAAAAATCAAAATATACGTATAATAATAGCCACAATAGCGAAGTAGCTTCTCTTCATAAATATAATAGTAATTATCATTTGTTGATCGCGTTTCTCTATGTAAGTGCTGTATGGTAAGTTTTTTATTTTCTAATGAAATTTTGAGCACTATAAGTCTTCTACCTTATATTGTTTCTTTTACATAAATGACCCTTTGATGCTTTGACAATTCTATGCAGCTTACTTGTCAAGAACTTAACCTCCATAGATAGAATGTGAAATGACGAAATGTTTTATTTACAAATTAGGCCTACTTATGCTATTAAACTGAATAAAATAACTTGTTCCATTATCTTAGATTCAGATACTCTATAAGTATAGGGACTTTAGCTACTCATCTTGGAATCGGAATAATGTATTGAATGTTGTACGATATTTACTTTTTTATTATATTCGCAGTGAACGATTTATAGTGCTATATAATGATAATGAACATTAAGTGAAATTGTATAAAAATCTTTTCATTTTCTATATTTCAATAACAACCGAGAGATGCAAAACCTCATCATTTTTATAAGTGGTCTGTTCTGTCATAGTCAAATTATGAATTTGTAAATTTTTCTCGATCGAGATAAATTTTGCATTTCTTATTATGTAAATTAACTGTTTTTAGGGAAAATTCCTTACAATTAGAGTGTATTTAATTTATGTATAAAAAACGAAAGCCAACGAAACTAAAAAGATGTATTGGCTTGATGTGCAGCTGCGCGTGAGTATGTATGCATAATTAATTTGGGAAATTTAAGATCTATAATGGAAACCCTGAGTAGTTGTCACTGTCAACCACAGAACAATAATACTGTATGCTGTCAACTGTCAGTGTGATGCGAAGTCTTTTAGTTTCGTTCAGGTGGGGGACAGTTTCATAAATTGTCATTTTTACAAGGATGGCAGTGACATCTGGTAATTGAATCTAAAACATAGCTTATCTTATTTATCAACAGATGGCGTAACGTCTACATGTGCATGAGACGTACTATTAAAAAACAAAACGGTAATGGCGGGAGATAGTTGATGCTTACGAGTGTTTAGCTATCTTTTTCTTCGTCATTATATCTTACGGCTCGAGGAACATCTTGCTGAGTGTTGAGTTGAGAATCTTTCTCCTCCACCTGGTTTTAGTGTTTTGTGCTGTGTTTTACAATTATAGTGACTGAAATATTTGTTTTGCGAAACGGACGCTTTTAGTTGTTTAAGTACTGACTGTTCAATTTATGATTAAAAATGCCTAAACTGTGTTGTTTGTGTTTTAAGAATGGTAAGTAATCCATAGTCCGCCGTTTTAATATCAATTTGCAGGATAAAAGCCTACAAATCTTAATAAATCTTGATCGTGCTGACACCTTTACAGAAATGGAATTTACAATACTTCTTAATTTACAAGTAATGAACTCTCCTATATACCGCTTCATATGCAGAACAATTCCGGAAATAGCAAGGAAACATTTAGATATAAATATCGTAGATAAATAGTCAAATATTGATATGTGTTTATCCCTAAGATTTATCCAATTGAAAGTTCCTCATCTTTAAAGTTCAGGATATTTTCACACTTTTCTAAAGCACTGGTCTACTTGGTTACAGGTCATGCCATTATGCACAGATTCCCAAACCCAGACAAATATCCTGAAAAGTTTGTAACTTGGGTTAGGTTGGCTGGTGGTAAACTGGAGACGGCTTTGGATTATGATTGTTTTAAAAATAAAGTTGTCTGCGATATGCATTTTACGGACAAAGATAGAAATCGAAACAAACGATTAAATGCATTAGCAGTACCATCACTGCATTTACCAGGTATGTTTTTAAAAAACCTATTACTAAAATTACAACTGTTATTTCTCTTTCCCAGTAATGTAACTATAGGCCGGCAGAATGTCATGCTGCTAAAATAAAATCCCATTTTTAACAAGATAAATTAATTAGTTATTAAAAAAATCATACAAAAGAATAAATTCTATATATATATATATATGTAATTAATTGTTTCCGTTGTGGTTGATCCTTTGGTTGTTTCTCTCAATATTAAGTTCAAAGATAAACATAATTGTTTCTACATTATATTGTATAATTGTTTCTACTTTTCTTTTATAATAGTTATATTGTTAAGATACAATTTTTAATTTTTATAAATATCTATGCGTTTGAAGATTTAATTTTAGCTGGGGCGAGCTTGTCTAATTAATTTGCCATGGATAGATCCATGTATCCATGGAAAGATACATCCACATGGTATAGTTATGCTACTGTTTTTTCCCTAGCCTCACAGAAAGTGTACCCAAATAAATAACCATTTTATTTCTCTACTGAAAGTAGACTTGCAACGAATATTCAGTATTCAGCTGAATACTGAATATCTCCATACTTTTCGGCCGAATATAGAATACTTATGTACCTAATGTATTTTGATGTAATTGAGATAATTGGTAAAATAAAAGAAATTATTGATTAATTTTATAATAATATTGTTTCTACTTTTCTTATAATCATGAAAGTCATTAAAACATATAGTATACAATCATCTTCTATTTCAGAAAATTTAATGACTTTTGTAAATTTGAATTCTTGTTGTAATCAAAGTTTAGAAGCAGAAGGTTATGGTGTAGAATAATTATTTAAATATGTAGTTTATTACTTTTTTCTCATAGACTAGCCCACCTTCAGAGAAAAGACGCTCTGAATAAATACTACTTCTTGGCACCAATAATTATTTTGCTGCAATCTTGATCAAAAATGGAAATTTAGAATTTCTTGCCTGTCATAATGTAAACGGATTTTCATGAATACTTAAAAAAGATCTATTTCTGTCTCAAATGCATTTTTTCTTTTGATACAAATTTTGGCACTACATACCAGCCGAATAACTAATGCCTAATATTCAGTTATATGGTAATATTTGGCATATATATTTAACATACAAATATACTATTCGTTGCAATTCTAGTTTTTAGTTAAGACAATGTTTTAAAATAAAAAGCTAAATGAAAAACTTAAACATATCCCTTAAAATGCAATAATTGATAGCAGTGTACATATGTTAAAGATATTTGTTTTTTTTTTATTTACAGGTACTAGTAAAGATTTTCAGGAGCAAGTCTCAATTATACCTAATCAAAGTAATCCTACATCTACTATGTTTGTGACAAGTGCAGGTAAATCATTATATATTTAAGAAAGATTAGATTTGACCAATTTTGCATTCATAATGCTTTATTGAAAAATATTTTTTATGAAAAATGTTTAAAAAATCCTCTGGCCCCAGTTAGTCCCATCTCAGGGTGCCTGGAGCTGGATTTTTAAGCATTTTTCAGTATAGCATATTGAATTTTGGCGCCACATACTGGCTGAATAACCAATGCCTAATATTCAGTTTTACTACCAGGAAGCTCATTGAATATTTGGTATTTGGCATATGTATTTAACATATAAATATACTATTTGCTGCAAGTCTAGTTTTTAGTTCAGACAATGTTTTAAAATAAAAACCTAAATGAAAAACTCAAACATATCTCTTAAAATGCAATAATTGGTAGCAGTGTCCATTTATTTAAGATATATTTTTTTTTACAGGTACTAGTAATGATTTTCAGGAGCAAGTCTTAGTTATACCTAATCAAAGTAATCCTACATCTACTACGTTTGTGTCAAGTTCAGGTAAATCATAAAATACTTAAAAATTATTATATTTGACCAATTTTGCATTCATAATGCTATACTGGAAAATATTTTTCATGAGAAATGCTTTAAAAATCCTCTGGCCCCAGTTAGTTCCATCTCAGGGTACCTGAAGCTGGATTTTTAAGCATTTTTCATTAAGAATATTTTTCAGTAAAGCAATGTGAATGCAAAATTGATAAAATTCATTTATATATTTTTTAAATGTTAACCATAACAAATAAATATTCAATCATGATAAATGTTCAACAAAAAACATCATTGGAGTCACTTGTCTTCTGTCACACAAATTACTCATAAAACATCCAACATAAAATTTGGTACCAAATTATATCTATCATAATTTCATTTTCAGGTGAATCGTGTTATGATGACAATATACAAAATATTGAGGCGGAACATAACTACAGCAAATGTAGGAAAACCAAAAACAGTATGCCTGTAAAAGGTAAAATAATAACTTTCTATATTTTAACAACTTAACTTTTCTTTCTTTTTTCTTCTTCTTTTGAATTAAATATTTTGTGAATAAAGAACAATGACCATCTGCCTAACATGCTTGGACTAGTAAAATCGAATAAAACGTAACTTGATGAAACATATGTTATTTTGTTTCATAGGCAAACTAAACTAGAACAAAGAAATACATTAAATATATTTTTAAAAGCTGGGAGTATTGAGTAATTGTATAATATGTTTGTGAGGTTATGTCGTGTTATTTAAACTGAAGCATTTTGAGTTAGAGGTATTACAGTTGAAATATGTAAAGCACACGTCAGATAATAATAATTTCTTTAATTCTTTTCATTACAAAATTTAAATAATATTAGGTCCCACAAAACTATATTAACAGTTTGACTGTGGGTGGGCTAGGAGTCTCGTTTTGAGTTACATGTAATGCTACTTGATTAGTATAATGCTACTTGATTTACATACATGTTAAATACAATATGTGTTACAGGCGATTCATTAAATAGTTCTTTAGTAGGTTGGAAAATATTTTGAGGTTACTTTCATGTCTAATATTGTCAGGTAAGCTATTTAATATATATGGGACTCTTTTGTTTAGAGTTCTATCACCATAATAATTGTTAACTCTAAGAACTACATATTTTCCTACTGCAATTGCTCTAGTATTATGTTTATCGTAGCCTAATCGTAGTCCTAGAAGTGCATACTTTTACATAATACTTCAAACTTGCTCCATATCTGATATATAATTTTTATTGGCTGTAAGAAATGAAAACATTTTTTGGGAACCAATGAACATCAAAAAATATTATAAAATTTTTAAGATTGCTCTCAATAACTCTACTTTTCTATCTTACACTATAAATTATATAAAGTAGTGAAAATACTAATTTCAAAAGGATATAGCAAAACATGTTGATTTTTCTTTTCTTAATTACAACTCTAATGAATACCTCATCACGGAATATATAATTAATTAATATATAAATTGTCTAAAAAAGGGAGGTCGCAATCGATTGAATACTGTAATATCAATGATTCTTATGAATATTCATTTGTTTTTAATTTCATTATAAATAAACTATTTTTTTCTAAGTAACATCTAATTATATTAGTAATCTAATTTAAGTTTTATAATTTTCACGGATTTATATGGTTAGTAAATAATATAAGATTTGTATCAAATTCGATTAGTCAGAAATAAAATTGATCTTGTTCTTTGAAAAGACAGGGACTTCATTAGGAATGACATTATTATTAAGATGCGTTCAAAAATAACATAATTTGAACTGCGTTCTAAAAAATAAAGACATATTTTAGAGAGGATTATCTTTCTTTTCCCAGCTTTTAAAAATAAATTGATGGTATATAATAATTACATTCAACTTATACTACATTTCGGTGATAGTTCCATCTTGGTACAAGAATTTTTTTTTCGTAGTCCATTTTGACTATTTCTTTATGTAATATAATACATTATAAAGTGCAAAGCTCTAATTAGACTTATTTTCACAGGTGCTACTCACAGAAAACTTTTCAGTGACCATGGAGTTCAAAGATCTCTGCAGGAGAAAATAAGAAATCTGCAATCAGAGTTATGCAGGTTGCGTAAAAATAAAACGTCATTTACAGGACGATTAGCTGCAGCTGAGACTGCATCTAAAGACCAGAAATTGCAAATGCTGCTTAATAAACTGACAAAACCTGCCCAACTTTTTATTAAAATGCAACTGCAGTCTCATAAAAAACCAAAAGGAAGGCGGTTTGCAACTGATGAGAAAATTTTGTCTCTGTCTTTATATAAGAAAAGCCCGAAATGTTATAGCCTTTTAAGTAAATATTTCAGTTTACCATCCGCAAAAGCGATGAAAAGATTGGTAAGCCAAATTAAATTATCAGCAGGTATAAATAATGTTTTATTTGAGAAAATAAAAACAGCTGTTGCAGAAAAACCTGCTACAGAAAGGCTATGCAGCCTTATTTTTGACGAGATGTCATTGACGCCGCAAATATTTTATAATAGCCAAAAAGATGCTTTTGAAGGTTTTGCCAATAACCAAGATAATAAATTTGCTGACCATGTGTTAGTATTCATGGTTAAAGGGTTAAAAAATAACTTCAAGCAGCCAATAGCTTATTATTTTACATCAGGGCTCAATAAAATTGAATTAAAAAATATACTAAAAGATGTCATTACCCAGATTCAGAAGACTGGTTTGATAATAATTAATACTGTTTGTGACCAGAGTACTATTAATGTAGGCGCCATAACGGAAATGGTAAATGATGCCAGAATTGAATATCAGCGCCGTTCCAAGCAATGGCGGCATGACGTAATTTACATTAATAATAAAGAAATTATCCCCATTTATGATGCTCCACATTTAATAAAAGGAATTAGGAATAACCTTTTAACAAAACATATGATTTATGAGATAAATGGAAAACAAAAAATTGTAAAGTGGGAATACTATCAAAAACTGTATGCTGCAGATAAATCATTTGGAGAGCTCCGACTTCTAGATAAAATTACAGAAGAGCATATAAATCCTGACAAAATAAATAAAATGAGGGTGAAGATGGCTACCCAAATATTTAGCCACAGTGTTGCGGTAGCTACTGAGCACTTGGTAGCACGTGGAAATTTACCACAAGAATGCCACGAGCTGGTGGAGATAACATTGTTATTAGACAATCTATTTGATAGTTTAAATGTAAACACATTTCATATACCAAATGGTAAAATTTATAAAGGACCGATCAGGAAACATTCACCTCACCATCAACTTTGGATTAAAGCAAAAGAAATTTTGAAGACTGTCAAATTTTTGACTGTTGTCAAAAACTATGTAAAGGAAATTCCTTCCATTAAAAATTTAATAAAAACCATTGAAGGCATTGAAGCAATCTGGCAAGTATTGTCACAAAAATACAATTTTGATGTGATGTTAACACGTAATTTTAATCAAGACCCTATTGAAAATTTCTTTGGGAACATCAGAAGTTACGGTGTAAGAAATGTTGCCCCAAATAGCTCCTCTTTCGAAGGCTCTTATAAATCATTGTTATTAAATAATTTTAACGTACCACATTCAGTAAGAGCAAACTGTGAAGATGATCGAAGTGAATGTTTGCAAAATTTAAAATTCTTTTTGACAGAAAAAGTACCCACTTCTGATGTTCCTGAGAAAGATATAATCATAAATGATGAACTGTTATTACAGCAAAATAGGGAAACTGATGCAGGTCAAAGTTATTACGTTTGTGGATGGGTTTTAACAAAATTTTTAAAAAAAATTAAGAAATGTTCTATTTGTAGAAAAAAAATAATAAATACAAAAGATGAAAATATAAATGATCTTTTTACAAAAAGAAAAGAATATAAAAAAGGCAAAAAATGGTTATGTTATCCTAACGAGAAATTGCAGGATTGCTTCAATGAAATTCAACATATTACACATACAGCATTAAAAAAAAATGTTCAAAAGAACAACATTAGAAGAAATATTATTGCTCTAGCAGACATCTTCATTCAATTCAATTTTACATGTGATAAACATTTAGACATTTTCAAAAATTATTTTGTGAAATCCACAATTAATGTTTTAATATATAGTTGGTGTAGGTCCATAAATAGGATTTTAAGTGGAAAAATTACATACCAAGGTGACGACGAATTAAAAAATGCAGCACAAATGTATTACAACAAACGTAAACATTATAAAAATAAAAAATGAATAAAATATTTGGCCTTTAATTTTCGTCCTTTTCTGCTATATTGTCATAACTCATAAGTCATAAGTACGTTGAAGATTTCATTCGACATTAGACATTACGTAGGAGCCTTTTTTATTTAATATTTTTATAATGTCGAAAGAAATCTTAATGTTATTTTTAACTTTCATGGTCATTAACATCAGAATAATTGTTAAAAACGTGATTGCTACCATGCCTTATATTTTATGAGTTTCCGATATTTCGGGACTGTTGCATGATCACTCATCAGTGAGTAAATATCGGAAACTCATAAAATATAAGGCATGGTAGCAATCACGTTTTTAACAATTATTCTGGACTTCATAATTTGAAATTCGCGCGGATGAACTGACGAAAGTCCGCACACATCGATAAATATATGTATGTATGTGTGCGTTTGGTTTACGGATTCAATCAGTAGATGTCGCTTCAATTTCTGTTGGCGAAATTATCCTCAAGAGGGCTCTCTTTTCCCACTGTATTATTTTTCTCTTTGGTTTCGTTCATTGTTATAGCATTAGATTTTCTACAGTAATCGAATTGCATCTTGGGTTTGTGTAGTGTTTTTTCTCCTAAAAATGGCTATGTTCCCAGGAACGGTAGCCTTTGATGAGTATGGGCGTCCATTTATAATCTTACGTGACCAAGAAAGGCAAAAAAGGCTAACCGGTACAGATGCCTTGAAGGTAAATTGATTTAGTTTATAGTATTTTTCCTTAATAAATTACGACGCTTATTTACATGTTTACGGAATTCCACCGTAAATTAACTTTAAAAATTTATATAATCATTCGCTATAAAATGTTAACCTTCAAATAGGTATAAACAAAATTATTGAAAAAACAAATAAAAGTTAATTTAATTGATTTAACTATATATTTTCTGATTATTTACCCTCATATTATTATATATTCACACCCAATCAGTGCACCTTACTATAGTTTTCATTCATTAATTCGTGTTTTTTGTGACAGATGGTTTGTGTATTAGTCACATGACTGAAAAGTAACTGATTGTAAAAAATAGGTTTTGTTTACTTTACCGAAAACTATATAGTTCTTTATGTTATTAAAATACATAAATTAAAATTAAATTTTCAGAGTGTAGCTCTGCATTGACTAAAATAATCTTTAGAGGTGTGAGGGCTAAATATCAGAGCTTTTAAGTCTATAGTTAGCAGTATATTTTGTGTCCTGAAGCTTTTGTTAATTAATAAATATAGATTTATAAGAAAATGTCGCTTTTTGTTGTATTGTATGAAGTTCCAAAAAAACTATTCCTTCATACACCAAGTTCAGCAATACCAGTTTCATGCTCTACAATATCTTTGCCTTATATAGTAGAAGTGTATTAAACATTCCCTTCTAGTCACACATACAAGCGGCCCGTCAGATAGCTGGTATTCTCCGTACCTCCCTTGGGCCTCGTGGCTTAGACAAGATGATGGTGTCAGCTGACGGTGATGTGACAGTCACCAATGATGGAGCCACGATCCTGAAACTTATGGATGTAGAGCATCAGATTGGCAAGTTGATGGTACAGCTTGCTCAGAGTCAAGACGATGAAATTGGTGATGGAACAACTGGAGTTGTTGTCTTGGCAGGTACATAGTTTTTTTTAATGGATTTTAATAAAGTATGAGGTGTAGTACTGAGGGTAGCTTTATTAACATTCTTGTTTTGAGATCAAAGTATTGTGTATTCCATATTTGTAATCAAACTCTATACTCCATTAATTATAGCATTAGACAGAAGTTAAATAAGGTTGTTTTTATGGTATACTTTGTGACAAAATATCAATAATCATGATACTCTTTAGACTGATGGCTAATTTGCTACATACTATAATTTTGTTTGTTTTGTCAAATAAAGACGATGCTGGTGCAGGCCCAAGGCCTTCAACAATTACCTTTGACATTTCAGGAAGTTTTTCCAATGTCTTCATTGATAGTCTAATAATATCTGAATAAATGTTATAAAAGTAATAATAAAAATTTCAGTTTGTTTACCTTTCTTTCCAGGGCATAGACATAACAAAATTCTATTGTTATTATATACACTTACAATTATATATGATCAAAACAACAATGAAAAAAAACAAAAAAATGCTGGCCTCATCTCAACCCCGAGGTATCATAAAAAATGGAAAATTGCTCAGCTCTTTCAGACTACCTAACATTCTAAGTTTCAACAAAACTATTATATATATTCTATTCTGTGATCCTCTTTTTACTAATGTTAAAATGAATGGAGTATAGACAAATGAAATAGTAAGTGTACTCACTGCACCATGTATAAAGTTTATATCAATTTATATTTTGGGATAAAATTATAGCATAATCATTGATGTGCACCAAACATATTTAAAATATATACAGTAATGAGATTTATAAAATATAGATTATGCTGGTTCTTATGCTAAATAGTTTATCTAAACATAGTTAATAAAAAACGACAGCTAAGTTAATAAGAAATAAATAATACTGACACTAACTTATACTGGTAGTAGAAGATGAAGGAGAAATTAATCTCCTTTTACTGTTTAAAGTTTCATCTTTATTTCATTTTGTTTGCCTTTCCTAGGTGCCCTTTTGGAGCAGGCCTCTAATTTGCTCGACAAAGGCATTCATCCAATTCGTATAGCTGATGGGTTCGAAATGGCAGCAGCTACAGCGCTAGCACATTTGGAGTCTGTTAGTGAAGCTTTTCCAGTGAACAAAGACACTAGAGAGAATTTGATTAAGGTTGCCATGACCACCCTTGGAAGTAAAGTGGTGGTGAAATGTCACCGTTTAATGGCTGAGATTGCTGTTGATGTAAGTTTAATATATAATTTAATGTGTAGTGTACTTTTTAATAGTGATAATGTACATTTGAAACATCTTAGTAATTACATTATGGGTTTGATAATTTTAAAATCCAAATAGGATAAGTTTTATCTTATTTACAATTTATTACATATGTAGCAAGTGCAATATTATTAGCAGTATATAGCATGATTTTATAAATATATATTTTATCAATTTCTATAATAATACATAAAGTATTTTTGTAGAAATTTTGCCATTCAAAATTTTTTTTTATGTGCTCAGGCTGTATTATCAGTGGCGGACTTGGAGAAGCGTGACGTCAACTTTGAATTGATCAAAGTGGAGGGCAAAGTGGGAGGGCGCATGGAGGACTCGATGCTCGTCAGGGGTGTGGTCATAGACAAAACAATGAGCCACCCACAGATGCCTAAAGTGTTAAAGGTAACTGTCATACATATAATAATAGATCTTTAGTGCAGACATAGAACTCCAGAGTAAATGTTAGTAACAATATGTGCTTAATTTAGTATTACTAATGGTATCAACATTTCATTTAACATTAGTAAGAGAAGTAACAATACATTTAAATATATAAAATATTAATTAGTAGTGTCTGCCATTTGCATCTTTGAACTTGTTCTCATTTGTTTTGAATTATACTCCACTTTATAATAAATATTATAGTATGAAAGGATCATTTCCAAAATATAATAGTGTCACACCATACATCCTTGACAACTTCTGTAGCCTAATTCACATTGCCATAACATGTTATGGTTGAATAACATGACAGTCACGATATGGATTTTGCTATGTTGATATTTTACAGTGAACTATTTTTTAACTCAATCAATGATTTTTGATTGAGTTAAAAAATATTCGTTACCTTTTTGTGAAAGAGTAACAAACATACAAAAGTTTATTGATTTTCTATACATAAGCTCAGCCATATCAGAGAGAGTATAGGAAGCTTAAGCTTGTGTATTTTTTTTTATATTTAAAGTTTTTAGAATGATTACTTAAATGTGCCTTTGCCCAATTAAATTTGTTCTGATTTTCTAACAGGATGTGAAACTGGCTATTCTTACCTGCCCATTCGAGCCACCAAAGCCTAAGACCAAGCATAAGCTCCAAGTAGGCTCCGCTGACGAGTACCGAGAGTTGCGCCAGTACGAACACGACAAGTTCCTGCAGATGGTCCGGCAAGTTAAGGTAAGATGATCCTTATGCCGATGCTTTAACGGGTAACTCATATGGGGTGTTATATAAAAAGACTTTGGATAGTTATACATAAGAATATATTAGTAAATGGTACATAGTAAAAAGAAAAGTATTAGTTATTATTAATAATAAAGCTTATTAAATTTTTAACATCTTACGCTACCATACATGGTTAAGATTATGATATTATAAATGCTATAATATTTTGCAATATACTACAAAATATATATTTCTGTATTGCTTGACATCTTAAGATACTTAATATGAAAATATATCTCAGTTGTGTGTGTTGGGCCATTGGAATGTTGAGAGATATTTTATCTTAACATATCATATTATAGCATCTTAACTGACTGTTACGAGCTTTAATGTGACAAGCAGGTTAATTTCACACTGCTTCAACTTGATTAGCATTAATGTTGATATTCTGGTAAAGTCTCTAATAGTATAAGTAACAAAGTTTTAAAGAGATCTATCAATCGAATTTTTCGACCGTAGAGTATAAAATTCCTTTATTGTCGTGATAGGAAGCGGGTGCGACTCTGGCTATATGCCAGTGGGGTTTCGACGACGAAGCTAACCACTTGCTGCTGTCGTCTGGTCTGCCGGCCGTGAGATGGGTGGGCGGGCCGGAAATGGAGCTGATCGCCATCGCCACCGGTGGCAGGATCGTGCCACGGTTCGAGGAACTGACTCCTGACAAGTTGGGCACAGCTGGTCTGGTGCGAGAACTTAGTAAGTACTGTTCTTATTATAAATTTTGACTAAAAACATTATCTTCCTGCTCTGCAGGCAACATGGCATAAAGAATTCGAGGGATCCGAGAAATGGGTGAATGCCACAATGTTAATGAAATATTGCATGAGTATGTCTCTCGTGGTTTTCGAGTCTCTTAACCTGTTTTTGTAGTCTCTTAAACTGTTTCTTGAGTCTATCAATCTGAATCTCGACTCCACCACAATCTACCACACAGGTACACTTTCCTTTTATATATATAGGTATGTTTTATATATATATACCTATTTTATATATATAGGTATAAGATTATATTAAATTATGCTCAACATTAAATACTGCATGTAGTGCTGCCATTAAATACAGCAAGTATGTTCAATACATCAGGTTGAATCAAGTGCACACATTCAATACAGTATTGAGCGATGAAATCTATATAAGCATGGTTACTGATGGCCTATACTATTTGTTTGTGAAATATACATCGGGTAGCTAAAGATTATGTCATTGTTATTAGTTTGTGCTGCTGCTCCTTTAATACTACAATTCCCACATTTGACCTTCTGGGAAAAGAGGGGTAACTGAAAATCAGCGTTGGACATGCTCTTGTTCAACATAAGCTGAGTCATCACCGTTTGTCTATTGTAATATATTAAAAAAAATTAATTTTATTACTGTGTGATGGTTACTATTTGAAAATTATTACTGTGAAAATTGTGATATTAAAAATAATGTAAGTTTGCAAAGAAATTTGCCAAAAGGTAGGTCACTAACAAATTAAATAATTATAAGAAACTAGTATAAGTTTTTTCAGGCGCCAGACCTACCTGGAAAACAAAGCCGGAGAGTTTGGAGTTTTAATCGCAAGGGGGGCTTGTAAATAACAAACAACAACTTTTACTTTTGGTTTGCCATATATTTGAATGAAACTTTTGTATATTTTGAAATTAAAGATAAGTTTATAATCTCTAAAGTCTTAGAGGTGATTGGAATTTTCGAACTATTAATAAAAAGGTTTTACATCACCAAATGAGCTGCTCCTTAATGCATCGTGCTTACATAGCTGCTTCTTAATTATATAGTGTTAAGCTGGCGTGCCCAAGATTGTGATGTATCAAGTGAGTGTGGCGTGGCTCATGCGGTAAAGGTTATGATCAGTACATCAAAATTGAAGTACAAGAAAACTTGTATATAAAAAAAAAACGCCAACGGCTGAAAAGAAAATCACACCGTTTAAAATTTAGAAAACAAAACAAACGAAAATATATCGGTCGATCCTTTCGAAAACTTACCGTTTTAAAACAAAAAACTAAAGCAACATGGGGCAAGGTGGACCCCTAAGTAGGTTTATGTTTCCACCTGCGAAGATAAAAAATTTGAAAATAGGAAAATACTATAAGAAAAAATTATAATTCCATGAAGAATAATGCTTACCATTATTAAATATAAGGTATTTTTACTTAAATACCGTTGATGCAACAAGATTAAAATATAACGAAAGAGTCACATCTTTTCGTTATTTAAAAAGGTCGTGAAGTGACAAATGTCAAAACCGACAGTGAAGTTTTTTTCTTTTTTTTTCTTTTACGAAACAAATCTTCCTCGGGATTAGGCCCATTCAGCCAAGTTGTATGAAAAATTACATGTGACGTAAATTTTACTTTACACTATGTAGGTTTTTATTTATATAAAGTATAGTTTTTGTAATATGAGGCAATAAATCTTATTATTTTTTATTAGCGTTCGGCACGAATAAGGAGGAAATGTTGGTGATTGAAGAGTGTTCAAACTCACGCGCAGTCACTGTACTGATGCGAGGCGGCAACCGAATGATAGTGGAAGAGGCGAAGCGGTCTGTGCACGACGCGTTATGTATAGTGCGCAGTTTAGTGCAGGTAAACATAATATATACTGTATTTTGTGTAGGCAATGGATAAATAGGATGCCAATTCTACTAAATAAAAGTGTAAGTGACATATGATACAATTCCAGCTAAAATAGAACTGGAATTGTATCGTATGTCACTTTGTCGAATAGGAAAACCATTAGAAACTAGTTTCGTTCGGTTTCGATCCGTTTTCGATTCGATTTAAACAAAATTAATTTAGTAGAATTGGCCCCCAGTACGGGTGTAGACAGTAAAGTAAAATAAATACATTTTTTTTTCTGTTTGTGCTTAGATAGTATTAACGATAATCACAGTTTTATGCTTATTATATTTATAATATTGTTTAAATTGATTATGAAAAAACAAATATTTTATGCTCGTTGTCACGTGACCGCAAACAACACGACGTCACGCCTTTTTTACTCATATCGGAACTTCGACAATTCAACCTTATGCATACATAGAACGATATTAGTTTTAGAGGGGCCCAAGTGGCATTTTCGCAAGAGATTTTGAAATTTAAATTTATTTTTAGATCTTAACTTATTTTTTTTTAGATACCATTCCATGTGTATCCATAAAATAAAAAGTTGTCTACACCCCTATTATATTATTAATATTGATAAAAACAATATTTTTCCGTAGTAGATGAAACAAAACAACAAACCGTCTAAGGTCCAAAAATTAGGTTAGTATAGCAAACCGTAATTTTAGGGGCCGTACCACATTTGGGTAGTTATCATAGTATTTTTAAACATATTTATCAACCTAGCAATTTTTATCCTGACTTTATTTTAAGATTCAATTTCCTGATATGAAAAGAGTAAAAAAAATAAGCTACATTTTGAGATATATCACATCACTAGACGCGTTAGCAAAGTTTTTGGGTCGAAATTTGACATGAATCTTTGTATATCGATAATATGTATGTAGGACTCCCGCGTTGTGTACGGCGGAGGCGCCGCTGAGATATCTTGCTCGCTGGCGGTAGCGCGGGCGGCGGACAAGCTGTCTTCATTAGAACAGTACTCGTTCAGGGGCTTCGCTGATGCCCTGGAGGCGGTGCCCCTCGCATTGGCGGAGAACAGGTACCGTATTTATAAAAATAGTAATATTAATTTCATTTGTTTACACACAGCCAAAACAATGAGGAAGTATTAAAAAAAAACAAAGCACTAAAAAAGCACCTCCACTAGATGACAACTCTAGCAAAAGTTGATTTTTGCAGGAAAGTAATTGACCAAAGACCGAAATTGAAAAGTTCGAAACTTAGATATCAATACAAATACGAAAATGTACAAATAGAATATGATTTGTTTATTGATTTTTGAAAACTAATTTACTTTAAAACTTGAAAGAAAACCGGAAAGGTTGTCATGGAGAAATTAAGAACGTAACGTAGCGACATCTAGTTTGATTTCGTGAAACAGTATAAAATTTGACTTAGGTATGTACAGGGTTATTAGGGAAACACTAGCAACCTGGCAGGGCCAGAGAGCTAATGTTATCATTTCAACTGTAGGGTGGTAGACAATTACTAACGATTAAGTGGTAAATTCAATTAAAAATATTTTAGCAAGAGATTAAAATATACAATTGATATACTCAATTGACCTTTATCGCCTTTTCACAGCGGTCTATCACCAATAGATTCCTTGTCTGAGGTGAAGGCCAGGCAAGTGACTGAAAACAATCCTAACCTCGGTATCGACTGCATGGGCAAAGGTATGGTTAAAGCACATTTATCTACCATTTTCGTGGTAGTTTAGGAGATTTTGGGATATAAAATCTAAATATAAAAATACGGAATTTCTTTATTCCTCGGTAGGATTATTATTTAATTGTAATGTTTCCATATGTTAAAAGTAAATGATAATCCTTGAGCACCCATACATAAAGAGTAGTATTGTATAATAAGGTTTTCTTATAGGAATAACCGCTTTGCACTATTTGAGGTGTGAATTGTAAATTAGATACCGGTAAAATAATATAAAACTCGCAACAAAAAGGTATCTAAATCCCACTTTTTTTTTAAATTCCTCTATACATAAAACCTATTTGTTGTAATTTATTTCTTCTCCGTCATAATAATTGCTTGAAAAAATTGAAAATTTTCGCGTTAGGGAAACAGTATTTTTTTAAAATAAGGATTAATAACAAAAGTGCATATTTCAGGTTCCAACGACATGAAAACAATGAATGTTATTGAATCACTGCATTCTAAAAAGCAACAGATCGCTTTAGCCACACAGCTCGTCAAGATGATCCTCAAAATAGACGATGTCCGCTCACCAGCCGATTCTATAGATTAAAAAAGAACCAGTGGCTGTCAATATTTTTAGCGCTTAAATATAATATGATACTTATAATTCAAGTTTGCGTTTTTAATGTCTGTCACATATTTGATGAGAAACTGACTAGCAAACTTGGCGACTATCAATATATTATCTTGCTACCTTCATTTAATATTTTCATTGTATACTATAATTTGAATAAACTGTTAAAAGGTTGATAAACGCTGGATATAATAACAAATGTATCAGCAGAATTGCTGCTTTTAATCACATTTATTTATGAATTATAATTTAATAAAAGATTATTGATGCAATATTATGAGGGTTGGTTAAGTGGTAAGCTCTTGAGTTAATTCACATAATTTTTTGCTTACAAGAACATTTCGAGTTGTCACAACTTATTTCAATACTTCAATAAAGTATTATTTAATTAACAAATTATATTGTCTTTTTTATGCTAGCTAATAGTTAATCTACACCGGTCAGTGGTGTCCGCATTGAAATTTGCGGGCTCATTCGATAAAACAATGACCAACCAATGAAAATGGTCTACAGAAATGATCAATGATGCATATTTGTTTAATATTGTTAACAACTTACTACATAGTTAAAAGGATATCGCGGCGTACTGACTGATCGAAAAGCCTCTTCTTCTGTTAGAGCTGCTAAGTTTCTTTCGCTCAATTTTCTTATCGGCCAAAAGACTTCACAAACGGGTGGCAGGTAAAAAACTGATGATTCAACAATACTTTGGTAAGTATAATTGAAGAATTGTTATTTTGACTGACAAAAATCTTAGTGTTTGCCTCGAGCGAGGCACGACCTGTTTAAGGATTTGCCTCGCGAACTCTTCGCTCAGTCAGTATATTACTAATTACATTTATGTAATAATAATCATTTCCATTGTAACGAGTTGTTACTTCATTCAGTTTTTAATACAATCTAGGAACCGTAATGGTGAAGGTGAAACAACTGGCAAGGGAGACTAAAGGGTGATTGTCTCCCTCCGAGGTTTTGTTAGCACGGGAACCGCGGTCCATCCGATCTAGGTTAGACGTTTTATTTATGTGAATTGGTTATGAAACTTATTGTGAACGATGTAGGTTTTTACAATGTTTTTGTAATGGTACAGCGCCATCTCGCTACTCGGTGCTGAAACGTCTTGCAGTGCATTTTTGCTATTGATTGTTGTGACGATGCTAGGTTTCTTGCTCTCGATTGTTGCGGCGATGTTAGTGCGACGTGTTAGATGTCGTTTCTGACCCGTGGAACACCTAAGTGTTCCACAGTTAACTATTTGTACCCTTTAATCACCTAGGTGTTCCACAGTTAACTTTTTTTACCCCTGGATCGCTACGTATCAGTCGCTACATACTATTGAATACCTTATTTTACTAATAAATTAATAAGCTACGACGACGTATACAGCGACGTATATATTGATATTGTTTTGTTTATTTATTACTACCCATGATAGTTTGCCCTTCTTTTAACCAATAAAAGTTTTGAAGGCGTGTTTAACACGAGGACGAGTCATTAGAACAGTGGATGCAACGCCAGCTTAATGAAACTGCCCCCTAGGCGATACACGTATTTTTTTTGACGCTGAGAAATGCATTACCTACGCTCCCCTCTAGCACGGGGTAGGCGGGTTATGTGGGACTCCGCCCTGCAGGCCCACCCTAGTCTAGGGCTACTCAAATAGCAAGGGCATACCCACTACAACTCAGCAGATTTCCTGATCCATGGATTCAATGTACGACGACAGCCCGAAGACCACTTCTCGGCAGTAGAATAAATGAAACAATTTCTTCCTCCAATCGCTTTCGTTTCTGACACGAATCAGCACTCCAAATCATTAAAAACAACATGTTATTTTAGAAAATGAAGTCTGGTCTGGAATTGTAGTTTTGAATACCGCTGATATGTTTTCGTGTCCAAAGAACAAGTCAAATTGTCAACAAGCAAATGAGATTATGCCACATCGCCCCCAAATACTAGCGCCCTAAGCAGTGGCTTAGTTTGCATGTATGGACCGGCCCTAAATGGATGTAGTCATTCACGAAATAATACAATTCGGGAATATCCAACGGTTAAATCGTTTATTTAAATTCAAGTATTTGCACAGAAAAATTTAAATGTACGATTCTTGTTTAATTCAACATGGCTTACTTTTCCATGAGGGGGGTTTTGCGTGATCGTAGACTGTCGATAACGTCATCATAACTCCAGTATAGCAACAAATTATGGTCAAGGCGTACAGTAAGCGATCTCTAAACCCGGCCTTTAACCATATTTCCCTCCCATCTTCACACTGATATTCCGCTTGCATTTTTTTCAATTTCGCTAAACTGCGTGCATCGTAGACGACGCTGCTGGTGCTTATACCACGAGAGCGTATCGATCTTAATGCACTTTTCAGTAAAAACATTCTACAGTTAGATAATAAAACGTGTGTTTTAATTTATTACTCCTTGTAACAGAAAATCAAAATGAAAAAATATTGAAGGATTTGTTGTCAAATTATTTTTTAATTTGAATTTAATTTAATCCATAAGATGACCTTTTTTGTTGTCAAGGTTGTGAAAAAGGTTGAAAATTTAACGTGGTGTTACAGTTCGTTCTCTTACTTTATCATAATTAGTTAATTTATGATACTTATTCAGGGAGTTAATTTAATAAGTCTGTGGTAAGACTCAAAATGTGCTCCAAACGGTTATGATTAAATGATTGTTTATATAAAATAATTCCTTAATAACGTATTAGAATCGTTTAACGTGTTGTTTTTGGTAAATCCATGTAGAAATATAGAATTGGTAATTCAAAATTGGTTGAATAAATGTATTTAAATCGTGTAATGGTCTCCTACGTGAAGTTGGCAGTATTGTGGTGACGCAAGTTACCGTAAGTCAAGAAGAAGTTTATTTAAGCTGATAAAAGTTCCAGATTGGAACTTTTATCAGCAAGTGGTGAAACAGGCCCTTAAAATAATAACTATTGTAAGTAAGGATTACTATCCACCAATTAAACATTCCTATCCTGGATTTTAATAATAGGGTTTAAATCCAAAATCAAAATAACAAACCAAAGAGAAACTACGTGTATATACTTAAATAGCAAACTTTCCGAATGGTTCCGCACCTTGAAAGGAAAAAACGAAACTATTTCTCATCAATTTTGCTATACTCAAAAAATCTTAAATAAAAATCCTTATAAAATTCAATTAGACACTGGCACTCTGAGATGGGACTCGAACCCATGACCTTTCGCAATCCGGGCAATAGTGAGTTTCTTTGTTTGGATATTTAGATGTTTGGATATTTGTCGGTCAATCACGCCGAAACTACTGAACGGATTTCGATGAAATTTGGTATACAGATATTAGCTGACTTAGATAATAGGATACTTTTTATCCCACTTAAGATTTCCGCTGGCGAAAGCTAGTGTAGATATAAATATAATAGACATAGATATAAATGTCCATCCAAGATCAATAATTCATCTCAAAATCAAAGAGCACTGCCAGATTGACGGACAACAGACGAATGGGAGTTGTTTCCGACTCCAGTTATATGTGTCAGTCCAGTTACTTCCTTATTGTCAAAGAGAAAAAGTAAAAAAATGTATAGAATTAAAATTTATTTTATTGAAGTAAATAATGCTATATACATCCCGATGCAACTGTCCTTACCACCTCCTCGATTGGCCGCGCGTTTTAAATTCAACAAAACTAGCGCCATATAAACACAATAAAACCATTCGTGATTATATTATTACAAAAAAAAAATTGAAAGTTTATTCCAACAGAGATTTTATTATATATCCATATTATTTAAGTCTTTCTTCAAGTTACACATTGTTTTATAATCATTTAATTTAATTAGTTCTGTAGTAGCTCTTCTACGATTTAGCCCTATTTAGTGTCTTTTCTGGAATACACAATGTGTTATTTATATTTGGCAGGTTTGTATCTATTAAATTGTTCACTTGAATTAGTGTTTTACAAAAAAAAATCTCTTTAACAATGTTGTAATTTCACAAAGGGATAGCAACACGAGGTATATCTAAGCAATTACAAACAAAATACAGAAACATTTCATGACAGTGCCATCTGGCTATCGAACAATATGAGAATACTTAAAATAACTATCAAAACAAATGTTTATTTCATTCAATAAATCTAGAAACTATTGTGTAAGAATATTATCCACCAAAATATTGTAATATAATTCATTTGACACTTTGATTTACAAATGAACAGAAGGTATTAGGAGTTTTTGAATATTTTAAAACATGCGACCATTCTGAAGAGAATACTTTGGATTATATCGAATGAGAGAGGGCACGCCCACTAACACAGACTTAACCTAAGACGTTGTGACTACACGCTTACATCGTCAGCTCCTGTGGAAGATGAGAAAAAGAAAACATATTAGTTCAGAAACTTTAAAACAATCACATCAGGCCACAACTTTGTACTTAATTTTCAACACATTAAGATTTAAAATCATTTGCAGAACTTTATTAGTCGTCCAATTATGTTAATCCTGAGCAATTTTCTAAAAGTCAGATATATACTTTGTCGGTGTTCACAAAATCACCCGATTTGATTCTCAGGTTTAACATTGAACTTAGATCATTTGGTACTCACCATAATAGCGTTAACAATGTCCGAGTGATTGTTCCGCAGCGCTCGGACCGCTTTAGCGCGAGAAACATTAGCTTGGGACATCACTATCTCAACATCCTTCTCATCCACGCCCGTCTCGTCAGCACCTTCTTCGTCCTCTTCTTCGGCTATTGGTGCCACCGTCTAAAGAGAAAACAAAAATGGTTAAAAATATTTCAGCATGCTGAAGGCGATAATGACTGGAATATGGAGGATGTTGATCAATTAAATGTGTGCGAGAAGTATGGTTACTGATAGATATTGTGTGTGTAGTTTGGTTGCGAAATGTTAGTAAAGAGACTACCAATGATTGTAGATTGTATGGGTAGTGAAATAGCAGGGTGTAGTGAGATGAATTGAGAGTAGGCAAAAATGTAGGTGTAGATATATAAAAAGTATTGGAAGTGAATGTGGGTATAGTGAGTGAGGGTGGTTAATTGTAGCAAGTACTAACTGTGCCGGTAGCAGCGGCATCATTTCCTGCGGCGGCCGTCTCTGGTGCCTTGAATCTTTCGGCGGCAGCCATGGTTGCCTGTTGAGACAGATCTTCAATTTTGGCTTCACCAAATACTATGTATGTATCCGAGTGAGGGTTCTTGTACACATCTGGAGAGTTGATGACAAACAGAATGTTCTTGGATTTCCTTATTGTCACTCTGTTTACTCCTTGTACCTATAAAACGAATTTCTAATTAGATATTTGAACATGCATAATAACAGACTTATGTAGATTTACAAACCGATGGCATAGAGTTTCGACTTTCACAAGTGCTTGTAACAGCCTAGGAGACTGAATAAATTATTTTGATTTGAATATATTCTGATTACTCTGACTTATTATTTACATAGTCATAAATCCAAATTATGTATTTACAAAGTTAGGTGATCCAATTTCCAATCCCAAGTACCTGAAATACATTGAGTAACCAGATTTGGGCTGCTAACGATTTTGTGATGAAAAGTCTTACAAACTTGAAAAAAAAAAAAATTACATACCAATAACCCGGTAACTAGAAATATTCTTAGATGAGTTTTGTTAGGAAAGATTGGTGTATAAATATAGCTAACGAATTTCATCCTTCTGCCCAATATTATATTAGAAGTGAATCAAGTGGCTCTACGTAAAACAGAAGGGAGGATGGATATCATTACTGATTATAATTGTTTTAATTAATAAATTAATAGCACCAAAAAAATGCTTAATATTTATCATGAATATTTATCCTAAAGATTGATTTTTGAATAAATAATATGTTTATTGGTTTCAGCCCTGTGATTCTATGAAAATAAAAACCCAAATTAAATTCACAAAGGATTCACTACAAAAAGCGGCATCCGCTCAACCTTGAATTGGTAATAACATTTCGTGGCATAAGTGAAGCGAGTTTCGAAATTACGTACAAATAGAATATCTGAGACATGTGTATTCAATCATTTTTTGTTTTGTATTTTTATACAAAAAATTGAATCAATAGAATTTCTACACTGAATGACGTAAATTCAGACACAAGAGTAAATTAATGTGGGTCTGGTTTTTATAGAATTGCAGGGCTGAATTGAGAAAAGTACAAAATCTTTACTATTATGTGACATAAGTATAATTTGACCCATTCATAACTTTTAATTCTCAATTCAGAAATTAAATGTATTATGGATTAATCTTCATCAGCCCTTTTACGTCCCCACTGCAGGGGCTTAGGCTTTCATTATATATGGTCAAGCACGAACAGCCTTGACCCTCTACATTTGTCCAAAGCAGATTAGAGGGTATTAATGACTGCAAATGCAGTATGGTATGACTGGTTATTATAGGTGTATTTTAAAGCTCACATGAATTACTTACTGGCTTTAATCCAAGTTTGCTCATAATCTTGCGCGCCTTCTTCTCTCCTCGTGACTGTTTAGCCTTTGACACAATATCAATACCAGCTATGGGGTTTGATATGCCGCCCGCTCCAGGCGCGCCTATGTTATTTAAAGGAAAAAATAATATTTTACAGACTAGTTTATAGCCTTGGGACCGATTGCATAGAGAAAGACATGATGCTACATAAGAGGAAGGAATAGTGATATAGATATAGAAAAAGGCTGAAGAATGTTTAAGGTTTTGTTTATATCTATAGACACTATTTTCTATTCACATTACCAGCATAGTCACAATCAGTACAGACAATACAGGCATGGTCCATGTCTCTTGGGTAGTATACATATTGATATACTGTATATAAGAATATTATATTTTCTGTGCTGGCATGTCTGTCATGCTCTATCTGTAGATATAAACAAACCTTTAAAGCTCAGGGGTCCTACTCAGTTTCTACATCAGAAGAGCTGACAAATTTCTTATGTTCTGCATCTGTAGTAGGTAAATTTATAGATTCTAGACTTAGTGCTTTCAATACACATTAAAACAGGTAATTGTCATAAGGTAGTAAATAATTTTACAACATACCAGCATCTTCTAATTCTGGAATAGTGTCATCAGAGTCACTGTCTGAAGACGCAGTCTCTTCCTTACGCTTCTCTGTCATAGATGCAGTTGCCTTGTCCAGTTCAGTAAGTTCTGGCATCTTAGTATTTCCTGTTTGTTATTGTGGACTAAAATGTGATCTCCTGGAAATTAAATATTTCATACAATTAAATTTCAAAGGCCAAATAATGTTAAAATCTATTTATTTCTATGTATGTTATTACTATAAGTAGTGGTACATACAAAGTGGTACTATACTATCAATGAGTAAGTAGCTAATAAGTCAAAATAATTATTAAATAGGTTCACAGTTATTTTAAATAATTCACTAGAAATTGCCAAGAACAATTTGTAGCTTTAGAGCTATGTAAAAAAGACTTGTAGCTTTAGAGCAATAAGTCTTTTTCTGTAATTACTTTAATAGAATCTTATCTAAGCTGAAGTGAACACTAGCTAACTAACTTATTCACATTTGATATTAGTGAACTAAAGACTACTTAGTGACTTATCACAAAGGGATGCATTTCAAAAACACTATTGATCGTTATTGCAATCTAGACCTGCGCTCATCTACATTTGTCAAAACCAGGTTATGGAAAAACAGCTTAGGTCTAAAATAGACATATAGGTAGGTATTATTTTCAACATTCGCCCAAGTTAGCAAAGTAAGATAAAATTCACGACGTATGTAGTATTACAATGACATATATTCTAACAAATTTTGCACAAAACAAATATAAAAGCACAAATGCGGTGCAGTTAACAACATAGTAGGTATCTAAAGATATTAGCGATAGAATTTGCATTTAGACGCGCCGCATTAAATTTAGATATAAAATACACGATAATTACACAGGTACAAAAGGTAGTTTCGAATATTTTGGATGAAGTATTAAATTTCAATTAATATCGATGATACCGTAAATACAGGCGAGGTTTTAAACTGGCACTAATCACAAACACTGGGAAATATTTATCTATTTCAATCCATATAGTGTTTCTATCACTGCAAATTTAATATCTATCACTGAAACTACAGGATTTTTTCAATAATTACAGATAAAATTACCTTCGATATGGATTATTCGGTAAAGAAACGGGAGTCCGCTTTTGACAAAAGAGCGCGAAAATGTTGCTAGTTCATAAAAAACGGGCTGCCAGTGCATATTAGTTTGTGTTACCATAGAGTACAGTTATAACAGTTTATAAAACGCAATTAACCGACTTCAAAAAATCTTAATAAAGGGAAATTACTAAAAAGAGAGAAATAATACAAAAAAAATATCTTATATATATAGTAAAATATCTGGCACCGACCTTGAACAAATGTTGGTGTATCCACTTTTTGTGTTTCGATTTACGATCAAATGCGATGTTTTTGAAGTCGGTTTAATTTTATTTTACTATGGGAGCAACACTGAATTCACAAAAATTAGAAAGTAAGGTATTTAAAAATAACATTAACTATTTAATTTTGTATATAAAGAACCAACTATACATATATATTACAAAATGAGAGAATAAGTGTCAAGTTTCTGTAGGTACCATCACACCATGGCATCACTGGGAACGAAATCGTAGATGAAGTCACCAGAAATAAGCCTGACGAAGACCACAGTCAGATATGTAAAGTACCGTATACCGACTTTAACACCTACCTAACAGAATCCCACAAACTGTTGTGGACCAACTATTGGCATGCAATTGCATTAGAAAAGGGGAAATGGTACCACGACATAGACATTGCCCGCTCGTCCGTGGTACCATCCATCAAAACTTAAAGGATCTATAAACCGCAATCTAATTACCACCATTTGCCGTATGAGATTTGGCCACTGCAAAACTCATGCCCATCTGCACAGACTGAAAATCATCAGCAACTCTAAGTGCATTTATTGTAACGAAGAAGGTGCCGATTTAAATCATTTATTATTGAAATGCCAACAGCAAGATTTTAAAATTCATAGACTGATTTTAGTGAGTGAGGTAACAAATCTAAATAGTGGCAGTGACAGTGATGTTCTTGACAATAACAGTGAAGTTTTACATACGCTCCTCAGTGATACAAGATGCTATAAAGGATTATATGATTATATACAAAATACTAATTTAACTATTTAGTGCATGGATTTATCTTTCCTTGTTTTATAATGAACTGATTGTAAGATAATAAGTTTGGCAAAAAGGGCAAGAATCCAGTGCCGTTAAAACAATAAATAAAAAAATTAAAAAAATCAGCTGTTTCAGACGACATTAGAGATGGGTCGTTGAGAGATTTGCCGTCGATGAAACGAAGCCGTTCATGGACCTTGATCGACTAGTCGATCAACTAGTTAATTTTAACTATAGTTGACATATGGAACTACGTCAAGGGGTGTGAACTTTGGACGAAAATTAATGGTTTAATTTTTTTGCCGTTTATTAATGGTATGGGTGTGCGGATCTCTTCGTGTGCGAGTCTAACTCGCTCTTAGCCGTTTTTTAAACATACAGTTAAAAGAAATATTATATTTTTTTATGTAATAGGATAATGATTTTAATTAATAATAAATTAATGAATCATAGTATAATTCGGATGCAAGAAAAGGCGAAATTATTTATAGAAGAAAAAGTTAACTTATACTAAGTAGTAAAATTCTTAACACCGCCATGTCAAAAATCGTATAACACCATCTATCGGGGACTAACGTAAACAAACAAAGTCTAACATGTATTTATACAAGGCCTATGTATTAGATACGCGTGTTCAAATATTTACTTACTTCCTTTGACACTAGAGTTTAAATTATTTCAGCTGTCAAAGTTACATGAAATTTTAATAATGGAAACAACCGAATTCCATTGTATTATACAGATAAAGTTATGCGTTGCAGTTTCGTAACATGTTTATAAATGAATGGTGCGTTCTTCTTTTAGCCGTCGACTTTTTAACTGGTTGTATTAATGTATTATACGACAAAACTAAAGCGTTGTAGTCTAGGTGTACGTTGATCAACGAACGTAACGCTCTTCATCTGATCATTGAAAATTCAACTAGTTGAATTATCAACTATAGTTAACGTATGCAACTACGTCGACAGGATGGACGTCGACGGATGGGAGTGTGCGTTTATTTATGAACTACAACTAACGTACAAATATTAACCTTATTGGATGGACTACATAGACTTTCGCAGTTGGCCGAACTACTTCACGTTAACGGATATAAAAAATAATATAATATTTATTTTGTGTAAGATCGTAGTTACCTAAGTGTAGGTATAATAGAAGAAATTTACGGTTTTATGTTTTTTAATAATCTAACTAGAAATCTTTAATAAATATTTTATTATATTTATCAATGAATATTATTTTTCGTTTATAGTGATATGTTTTACTATTTTAACATAATATTATAGATATACTGAACTTTAGGTTTTGTTTGTTTTGGTTCAAAATAAAATTATTAATCTTATTATTCAAAATTATTCATATAACAGTTGCCCAGAGTGAATTAAATTCTCTAAAATAAAAAAAAATCTATAAACGTTCTTTCAGAGAAAGAAAGGTTAGATAGATTATTCAGACAAAAAAAATCCCAAAGAAACCCTAATAAAACACACAATTAGACGAGTGTATGCAAAACTAAAAAAAAAGTTCTATATTACAACAATAGTTGATCTATACTAACTAGTAAAATTCTTAACACCGCCGTGTAGATAAATACAAGAACTGTATAACACCATCTATTAGAAACAAATGTAAACAACAATCATATTTGACTTTCATATATACAAGGCCTATGTATTAGACGCGCGTATTGAAATATTTACTTACTGCCATTGACTTTAGAGTTTAAATTATTTCAGCGATCAAAGTTACATCGAATCTTTATGAATGGAAAATGATGCGTTGCAGTTTCATAACATATTGTTAGACGAACGGTGGGTTCTTCGTTAAGGCGTCGATTTTTCAACTAGTTAACCAAAGAACTGTCAACCGTCGACGCGTTGATTCTACGTTAACGGTTGATTTAACTAGTCCGTTGATTCAACGCCCATCGCTAGACGACATTGTAATACCTAAAATCGGTATTTTCGGTACATACTCCATATAAATCCCGGTATTCCGGTGTTCTCGGGTTTTTCTTAGAATCACTAATTATTAATGTATCTTCTAACATGTAATGTAACTTAAGAAGTAAGTTAGGTACAATAATGGCAAATTATTATTTTCTAAACAAAACCATTTTTAAGCGAATAGAGCAATATCTATTCGATTTAAAAAAAAAATGTTTTATAATAGGGGTTAAAGTATGAAATTGCCGATTTGTACTGAAAATCGTTTTTAAGGTTTTAATTTATAAAATAATTATTTAATCATTATAGTTACCATTATTATCTATACATTGCTGCCATCTAATAGAAAGGTCATTTATGCCTTTGTGATAGAAATCTGAGGATCTAGACTGCACAAACTGTGTCAAAGCATTTTGTACTGCTTCCTGGGAAGAAAACTTCTTGTCACGTAGATAATTGTCCAAATCACGAAAAAAATGATAGTCCGTTGGAGTAAGGTCTGGTGAATACGGAGGATGACGAATGGTTTCTAACTGCAGTTCCTGAAGGGTCAAAATGGTTTCTCGTGCTGTATGAGGTCTCGCATTGTCATGGAGCAATAATGGTGAAGATCGATTCATGAGGCGGGGCTGTTTTACTGCTAGTTTTGCCAACACTGTTCGGAGTTCGGTATAATAGACATCTGCCGTTATTGCTTGACCAGATTGGAGAAAACTATAGTGAATAACACCATCCTGAGACCACCAAACAGTTGCCATTACCTTTTTATTGGCAAGTTTTGCTTTAGGACACTGTTGTGATGTTTGACCTAGGGTCATCCATTGCCTTTACGGTTATCATAAAGAATCCACTTTTCTACAATTCGATCCTATATTCCTTCATTTCTGTGCCGATTTAACAAGGCAACACAAGTTACAACACGCGTTTCTTTCTGCAGATCAGTCAAATCATGAAGCACCCATTTTTTATAACTTAACTATACTATATTTGAGGGAACGTAACGACCTAACGCACACGACACCACCGACGAGATTTTTAAGAG